AGTCAGGAGAGGTCTGCTGCACCATGTGGGTAGCTCCCTGAATGGGATCGAATTTGTGCTAAAGTGGCTGCAGACAGCTTCATAGATTGGGTCTTAACCCCTATGCGCGCCACCAGGGAGTCCCAGGCCTGTGTTTCTTTTTCTTCCCTCCCCCCCTCCCCCCCCTCCACTCTGAGCTCCCATATCCTCCTTCCTTTCTGTCTTACCTTTCTGGGTTATGATCTGTTTTTTTCCCTAGCTTTGTTGCTCCTCAATTCATGTTCCATCACTGGTTTTTCCATTACTTCCCTCCCAACACCATCCCCTTGGATGTCACTTGGCATTAAGAGCTTCATATCCTTTATCATAAGTGATTTCCTACTGAATGTAGGGATTCTGATTCCATCCCTGAGTATTTGGCTGGGCGGGGGTCACTGACACTATTTGAGATATTTGATTAATTATGCACTTGAGGCCACCGAGGCAGGCGCTCAGACCAAACCAACCAAAAAATGTCTTTGGGGAAAAAAGAGAAATATCACATTGTATTTTTAAATCGTGTCCACGCTCGTCTCCAGGCCCTGCCACAGAAGGAAGACTGGACGGGCGTTCCTGGCTGTGCAGGCGAGTCGGCGCCCCCAGACGGGAGCCCCGGTGCGTATTAGCACCTGCTGGCAGCGGCTAGGGCCACCAGGGCTGTAAACTCGAGGCCCACTTGAGTGCAGGCTCCCAATGAGCAGATGCCAGACCGCGTTGTTTACCCCTCACTGCCCTCTCAGGACATGAGCTACACCTGCAGACGCCGAGTTTATGAGGCGTTTACATCACCTCACCATTGCCGAAGCAGACGCGCTCCCTCCAGAGAAGTACTAGTAGCCCTAAAGCCAGGTGGTGAGAAGGGCCTCCCCAGCGGCCTAGCGGGTTAAGGCTCAGTGCTACAGTGCTGCTGCTGCTGCTACGGCCTGAGTTCGGTACCCGGCCCAGGGAGCCAACCCACGTAAGGTGCAGAAGGGCCTCTCCTGCCCACTGCTCCCTTTAGTGCTGTAATTCAACAATGTTCACTCCTCTTGTGTCTCTCCTCGAGTCGTCTCTCCCTCCCTCGTGTGTCTGTGTCCCTCCTTCCCCTCCCCCCCCAAAAAAAAAAACAGGTAATCCAACAACATAAAAGATGAGACCAGCTCTAAGAAATATGTTGGAAACATCAGTTAGTTGAAAGAACTGAAAACAAGGGGAGCCTGTCAACTTGGGAGCAAGTGTTTCATTAAACCAATGTTGTCAGCTGTCAGCTGGTTAAAAATACATACAAACCTATGCTTACAATGAAAAAAAAAAAAAAAAAGTATTTTCATTCTAAATCCAAAATCTGATCCGGAAAAGTTAGGTCTCACAAGTCATCAAGGGCAGAACAGGGGGTCTTATTACTTCAGTTCCTGTGTCATTGTGGCACAAGATACCACAATATATTTAGAAAGGGCAGTTCAGAACAAGGAAAGAGGCTAGAATATCTTGTCTCACCTCAAATTCCATCATACAGGTGCTACACATTACAGTAGATCCTGTCTTTTCTCACAAGGCCAGTTTTTAAAATTCCAGAGTCAATTGTCAGATATGTCTGAAAAACTGGTTTGACAAAGCCAACTCATGCTGCTTTAAAAAAATATTTTAGTGAAAATATTATTATATTTGGACTTAAACACCCTTTGAAGGGTTTATCAGGAAGAAACTATGTTGCTTGGCTCAGAGGCCCAGAAACCAAATTAATTTGATCAGTTTTATTTCATTCTGATAGGGACGTATATGCCCTAAATTGCTATAAAAAATTCGGCTCTAACCCCAAGAAAGTCAGGTATCTGGATACTTTTCCAGTTCAGGGAACAAGGCAAATGCATCAGAAATTTCTGGCTGAAAGAGAAGTCATGTGTTTAAAGAGGCTGATTTGTTTAAAAAAAAAAAAAAATTCCTGCTGAAATTTTGGTTGGGATTGCTTTACATCTCTAAGCTTGGAGGTATTTGACTCAACATTGAGTCTTTCTAGTCAGTAACATGAAGTAGCTTTGCATTTGTTTAGGCTTTGTTTCATTTGTTAGCAATATTTTGCATCATTCAGTGTATATTTTACAGTCATGTCTTATTCCTAATTACCTCATATATTTGATGCTATTGAAATGATACTGTTTTCCATTGTTTATTGGTTGAATCTAAAAAGCCAATTGATTTTTGTATACTGACCTTATATCCTGGCCCCTACAAAAGCCACAGTTCTTGTAGTTCCTTCGTAGTTTTTTTTTTTAAAGATGTATTTATTCATGCATACAAGAACTGGGGTACAGGCCAGATGTGTGGAAGGGTGAGAGGATTCACCAGAGACAGAGCAGGGAACAGAACAGGCAGACTGACTGAAATACACTGCTGAGGGGAGCAGATGGGCGAGACAGGAGAGGTCTGTCATGCCATGTGGGTATCTCATCGGCCAGCGGGGCTCGAATCCACACTGCAGAGGCTGTGGGCAGCTCCACAGAGCTGAGCTTAACCGCCTGCGCCACCAGGAGAGGCCCCCTTCGTAGATTTTTGAGGTAACTCCAATATTGCATTTCATAGTGGTTTTATCAATTTATATTCCTGCCAACAGTGCATGAGGGTTCCCTTTCGTCACATCTTTCAAAATTCTTTGTTTTGGTGAGAGCCATTCTAACAGGAGTAAGATGATACTTCATTGTGTTTGTGATTTGTAGCTCCCTGATGTACCTGTTGGCCATTTGTATGTTTTCTTTGGAAAAATGGCTCTCTTAATTCCCCTGCCCAATTGAATTTAATTTTCACTAAGGATTAACTGCCAACAAAATATCGTTATTGTATTAATGAAAATTTGACCATGTCTATCAAAATTACTTTTCATGACAGTCTGGTTATGAGGTCTCTACTTCTTTTCTTTTGAGGTAACATAGGCTTGTAACATCACGTGATTTGGATGCATGCCCCTCTATGACCAAGCACCACAGTCTTTCCTTATCGTCCATTGTGCCCCTTCCTCACTGTTTTTTCCCTTCCTCATCTTGTGCACTCGATTCCTCAGTCAGTTTTCAATGGCTTGTTAATTTCGTTTTATCTGACTGTTTCTCTCTATTCCACATATAAGTGACACCAAATGGTATTTATCTTTCTCTTTTTTTTTCCCCAGTATTTTCTTCTCCACTTGTATCCATGTTGTCACAAATGACAAGAGTTCTACTTGCTCTTTTATGTAAGAAACTACAAAATGAGTTAGTATGTTTCAGAGAAACTCAACTTTAAGCCAACAAGAGGAATGGGGAAATTGCTCATGTTTTAAAGTTACTGATTTCCAATGATAGTCCTAAAAATTGGCTCTTCATAGAGCTATATTTTAGTCTGATTATGTGTGTATTAGTATAATGCAGCTACCAGAATTTATTTGTGAATTAATTTTTTAAAGATTTATTTATTTATATAAGCACTGGGTACAGTCAGAAGCATGGGAGGGTGCGAGAATTCACCAGAGCCAGAGAGGGGAACAGAACAGGCAGATTGACGAAATACACTGCTGAGGGGAGGAGCAGGCACAGCAGGAGAGGTCTGTCGCGCCATGTGGGACCCTCGCAGGCCAGCCAGGGATCAAACCAGCGCTGCAGAGGCTGCGGGCTGCTTCACAGCCTAGTGCTTAACGACTGCGCTACTGGGGAGGCCCTATTTGTGAGCTGATTACATCCTGAAATGCTAGAATGCCACAAAAGTTCTGGGGTATTTATTCACTAATTTTCTGAACGAAAGATGTCATTTAATACCTTATTTTTTACTCATGGAGAACTTGTAGGGTGGCAAATTCCCATTTACTACTTAGAAAATTGGATCCAAAAGATTAAGTTGTTTTAGGCGAAATAGTTATGAAATGGCAGTACATAACTGAGCCACGTGGCTCTTCACCATTACCCCAGAATTACCTCCACCACTAACATTCCATATGGTGTCGACTTTCAAAATATTTGGCTGTGATCCACAGAAAGGGTTATACTTTACATCACAACCCACTGTGTACATTCATACATCTGTATAATGGAAACAAAATCGTCACAAGCAGCGTTTACTTTTAGACTGTGATGTTGTGATGTACTGGCATTTCCATTGTTTTTAAGTAGTGATGCCTCAGTAAATTAATGACTTCTTAGTAGGTCTGTACTTGTATTTAGAAAGCCTCTTATCTAAAAGCCCTAATTAAACATGCTTGTAGTCTGCTTTCCAATTATTAAAAAAAGTGTACATGCTGGATTTTATGCAGATCAAAGCTGCATTGGTGATTTTTCTCTGGACCTTGAGTACACTAATGGAATCTTTATCTTCAGAAAAACTAAACACAAGGCCTTATCACTAAGAAATCTAATTCTATATAATCTTAAGCAGATGTATGAAGGAAAAACACATCATAACCACCTGAATCTAGGTACGTGTCTTTGATTCTGAGAACATTTAGTTTGGTTCCCAAGATTAATGTCTTCTTGTGAAAACAGAATTTGAGTGCAGCTCAAAGGAATGATTGTTTGAGCCTTAAGGCTCTTTCCTCCAGCTTCTCTTCTAACCCCATCCTTTGTCCCTTTGCTCAGTCCCCTCATCTCAATGCTTACTTCCCTGTGCATGATTGCAGAACTGTATACCCCCAAGACTGGCCTTGCAGTGATGAAGTTGGGGAGAATGCTCATAAGTGTGGAATTGTTCTTCCTGATAGACCTACTTTCCTCTGTTTTTCAAGTAGACATTTTGATCGTTAAATGTAGCATCAAACACGTGTGTGTACTTCAGTGTGAATCATTTTTACCAAGTAAAGGTTTTTGTTCTTAATTCTTAGACACGTAAATGATACTTGGTATAAAATAACTTTGGGTATTTATGGAAAGAAGGTATTTTGTTCAGTGAACATCTAATTCCTAGTTTCAGTTACACTTTGCATCAAGAGTGAATCTTTCTGTGAAGTTTGAACAAATGTTATGAAAGTTACAGAAGATACAGCTACGTTTTCATTAATTCAGTATTTTATTTGGTGTGAAAGCATCTTATTTGAGTTGTATAAGTAATTTCATTAATTTTAGAAACACTTCTGTTACCAATTTTATTAGTTGTGCTACTAGACTTAAATGGAAGGCATTAATGAATTTATTGAAGCATATATGCAGTTATTTTTTATAGCCACTTAGGTACAAAACTTTTGTAAGAAAGATAAACACTTTTATTGCATTATATAATTTCATATTTTACAACTCATAATGCAAATTCATAAGCATAAATAAATGTGACGCAACCAATTAGCAATGTTAAACATTAAAAGATTTTAAAATGTAAAAACTAGAATTTAACAGGCAAAATACTTAATATGGCTTTTATGGAAACTAAGGTAACTATTTAGAAGTGACTTGTTATTGCCCCATTCTAGTTATTCATGTGAACATAAAATTATGATTTCAATTTAAAATGGTACATATTTTAGCCAATGTTGTACAGATTTTGTAACATAATGCAGTTTGATTCATGGACTTTAAATATACATATGTACATATATAGCTATAGATATACAGTACACACAATTGTTTTAATACCCCTGAACATGTTGATTAAAACTATTACAAGTTTTCTATTATAAAACTACTTGAAAAGTAAGCATAACTTCTTGATTTTGAAATTCAATCCTACAGAATTGGAAAAAAAGCAACAAAATGTTGGTTTATAAATACATTCTTTACAAAAAATTGAATAGTGGTCCCGCACTCATACTTTATAATACAGTGAAAACAATTTGTTTCAAGGTATGTACATCTTGTTGGTTTTTGTGTGAAATATACAGAACTTGTTAAGAATGAGAATATTGTAGGCAGGCCTATTTGTGAGGTTTTTCTACTTCATTTTTGCGTAAGTTCCAAATCTCTTCTTTTGAGTTGTTGTTTAATTCGATTTGCCTTGTATTACTGCTGCTGCTGCTTCTTTTGGTGTTCTGGGAACACTGGATGACTTTACTTCTAGGAACAGGAAGAAAAGATTTAACTCTTGAAATACCCAACTCAGTCTTTGATTTATTGTTGCTGCACTCGTTGGTAGTTTGTTGGCTGCTGAGAGGACTCACCTCCTGTAAGAGAAATAAGACAGTTCACATTTCACACTGCTGTCAACTTCTGTCTCTCAGTCCCAGTTCTGCCTCCTTTGTGTCACTGGGCTAGCACTAGGAGTTTCTTCCTAAACACAAGTTCTCTGCAAAGTCAAACAACAGAAAGAAGTTGAATGAGTAACTTGCTATATAACCACTATTCATTAGAGCCTTCCTGATGTCACAAAAGTGCAAGATGAGCAGTCAGTGAATCTGGGATCTCCTCACCAACAAAACCTTCACCGTGAAGTCCTTGGCCTGATGAAATCACCAAATTCACCGAGTATAACCACCTATTTGTAAGTAACTCTACAAATTATAATACCTTAAGTAAGTCAGATAACTTTTCTGCTTTCTACTTTAAACAGGTAAACTGAAAATCAAGCTATTAGTCAATACACTTTTTTGGGTGCTTGTCCTACAGCAGAGGACATTCTTGCCCTGATAGTGCTTACTAGACTCCCATGAAGCACTGTTATGTGGCTCAAGATATTCTATCTTGAAAACTGCATACTTTCAGGTTCCCAGAGTTTTATAACTCTATCACCTGGTCCATGAGGAAGCGAAGGTGATCTGCCCACTGTCAAAGTGGTGAAGCTGGGACAAGTGTGCTTCCCCCTAGATAGCACAAAAATTTCTGATGCCTCTGACCTAGTTAACATTACTTTCCCTTTAAAAGACTGAAAACTAGAATTTACCAGGCAAGATAATTAATATGGCATTTTATGGAAAGTAAATGGTTGGCCTCAGTTGACAGATGTAAGAAGACATCAAACAGAATATTGTCAAGTGGAATTTAGTCATGGGCTGAGTAAGGTCAATCCCAGCTTGTCATTTAGTCTAAATCACAGCAAATTCACCAGCAATTAACTACCCGTCTAGTTAATTGCTAGATGGTTATTTTGCCATGGTCTTTGGACTCACTCTGCACATCCACAGGAATATCACCAAGGCCCAAAGGGAGGAAAAGGAGATATGCGGGGTGTGGTCTGCGTCATAAAGGTAAGGGCGAGCATCCTCATGGCCTAAGGAAGGATATGCCCACATCACATGAAGTTCCAAGAACCCCCACAACAGCCAAAAGTGTGGTTGGGGGGTGGGGGTGGAGGCTGAATGTAGATATGTGAGGCCAAGTCCCTGGAGGTGAGACCCACACATGGAGAAGGACTTTGGCTTAGTGATGGCCACAGCAACTCAAGTCTGGGAGTGTGGGAACAGAGGCAGTGACTGCCCACACAATGTTCCTGACACTCGAGCAGCCAAGCATACAGGTTTGGAGGTTTCTTCCCAGTGCCGGGAAGAGAAAGCATACTTAGCACGTCCTACGCTTAAAGAGTTCTGTTAACCACTACACTGACTGTGTTGCTGTACACATTAAGCTCAAAGAGCACTCATTTGTCTGGAAGGCACTACTGCTAAAGTTTTAATGGTTCATCCTTGAATTGTTAAATCAGAGCAATTCACTAATCCAGCACTGAGCAGCTGGAAGCTATGAGAATACCCTAGGTGGGAAGGTAGAGGGGAGATGGCATTGGGGATGGCTGTCTAATAACAGTGACAGGTGAAGCATAAGAAAGGCTTTGTGGGAAGGTGGGGTGTGAGAATAGTATATTAATGCAAAAAGTTAATTAAGTGAAAGTATTATCAGCCTTTCTGAAGATGCATTTGTAAAGAAAGGAATGTGGTAGAGAATGAGGGTGACAAAGTGCTGTTTTAGAGCAGTGGGTCTAAACTGTGGCTGCATGTGAGAATAATCAGGAGCTTTTCAAGTTCCCAGAACCTCTAGGGCACAGAGTCCAGGCACTGGGGATAAAAAAAAAAAAATGGATTTCATTATGCAACCCAAGGTGAGTGCTCCAGGGGAATTAGTCTGCATTACATGAGAGGAAAACATCAGTATCTGCTCTTTCTACTGCTGATTTAAATGTATTTGTATTTTTTTAATTTAAAAAGCTAATGTACCCCATTACTAAACCCAACCTGATTCCCTCCCTATTAGGGCAGAAAGGAGTTATATTATGGCAAATGGTAATTCACTCATTCTCATCTTGTAAGGCCCCTCTTTGGCCAAAAAAGAAAATGATTTCAGCTAACCCAGAGATCTCTGACCTCTTAAGGGAGTTTCTTCCCGATAACAGAAGAAACTGGGCATTTAACCAAGAAATGCTAGTTGAGTTTCATCAAGTGGATGGAGAAGGTATGAGTCTACTATGAAACTTTCAAAGGTTGGGAAATGAGTGCTACTTTGCCCTCTGCTGGCACATTCTGAGAAAACAACTTCTAGCTGTTGAGGAAGGGTATCCCTCAGTAAGTTCAGGGGAGAGAGAAAAAGACAGCAGTTCTAATACCTACACCAAATCCCACATTTAAACAACCCTATCATTCTTTTGTAAGAGCCTTGGGCTCTTACAAAGAATAGGACCCATTTTTTCGAAGTTCCCTTTTAAAACAAAGCTGTCCCGAGCTGATCCCACTTTCAGTACTATTTTTATGGACAGTACCTTATTGTAGCAAACCCAATAGGGTCATGTGATAGAAGTTTCCATTAGTCATTTAAACAGTGGTTCCAGTCACTGCCAGTCAACATTTTTATATAAGAAAGTGGGGGCCCTTGGGGCCTCACTGGTGACGTAGGGGTTAAGTGTCAGCCCTATTACCCCCAAGGCCTGAGTTCAACCCCCAGCCAGGAAACTAATCCACATACGGTGTGGCAGCCCTTTCCTGTCTCACCACTGCTCCATCCTTGCACCTCTGGCCTCCACCCCAGTTCTTCTACACAGTACCCCTTAATGTGATTTTAAAGTTGTTGTGATAGGCACAAAAGATGCTTATGTGTTTTTGTATGTGATCATAAGCCAAATTAAAAATTCTTTTTGGAGGTTCAAGAGTAAAAAAAAAAGTGGGGGATCCCTTCTTCTGATAGATACAAACTATGCTGAGTCAAAAGTTCAGGGATTGCTCCTAAGACATGTTCTAGCCAGAATTTGCAATAGTGACCCTAGGTCATCTCCCCTTGAATGCTCTCTAAATTGCTCTTTGTGCTTAGAAACTGTTCCCAAATGGTGGGAGGGGAGGCAGACATTGTGATAGTTAAGCCAGAAAGGTCACACTTTTCTTCAGATACCATTATATAATTTTTAATCAGAAGCTCAGCCTTGCCAACCCCCACTGTCACCCCAGCCCCCACAACACAGCTCTCGGAGTTTCACATATAACCAATCAGGACTGAAACCTAATAAAGCAGTGAGAACAGAGGGCAGTGGTGCTCAGGGCTGTCAAAGTATTAATCCTCATCTTATTACCTAATAGTCTTACCAAGCTCACTGCATCCCCACCCCCCGCCCCACAGGCCTGTGGAACCACCATGGGAATGAATGAGAACAGGATGTGAACCACAAACCACATATTGAGTACCTCTGTGAAATCTGCATCCTCACAAAATGTCTGCTGGGTAAGAAAACATGTTATTGTTTCTGTTCACTCAGGAGTACCATATAGGGCTGTCTCTTGACATTTATTAACCAATCAATCATGGAAGCTATTTTGAGAGGGGGGTAAAGTCTGTTGGAATCTTGGCTCTTCTATCACATTCTGATTTTAAAGGGAAGACTCACTGGAGCAAGTTAGGAAATGAAAGATAGAATGTTTTGGGCATGTAAAGGACCTTTATATATTCTCATTCCTTTGCTGAACTTAATTTTACAAAATGCTGGAAGTCGTAAATTTCCTTCAATACATTTAGCTAGATTAAATTTCATTATTTCTATTCTTATTATATACAGCAGTGGACACAACAGAGGACCTCTTCAAAATTTTAGGCATCAAGTAGGAGGGAAAGGAGTGATTTCCCTCTGTCATTCTTTCAAACTGTTATCCCAAACAGTCATCTTTCTAACCTTGATTGATTAAATTGTTTAACTATTTTTAAACTGTAGCTAAAAGTGAGATAACTGTGTAATTCACACTGAAAGATGTGTGAAGTCAATTTCACAGCAGTCTTCCTTTATCCCATTTTTGAGGAAAGGAGTACTTACTTTTTGTGACACTGGCATTCTTGAATTATTAACAGTTGCTGAAAATGCAGGGTTGTTTCCTGAACTGTCAAACCTTCTTAAATCATCCCTGGAATCAGCAATCTATAAAATACAGAATTTATCAAGTCGTTTTCCAGTTGCAATGGGACATACTCTAGGCACAGCTTCAAAGTCACTAAAGTCAGGAACACCTCACTACATACCCTAAAATCTTGCATTATTCAGTTGGAGAACCTGAAGCCCTAATTCCACATGCAGGAGAAATAATCTCTAAGGGAAGGGGGTTTATTAAGGTCAAGAGCAGATAAACCCTATAGGGGAAGAAAAAAAAAAAGCACTTGGCAATGGAAGAAAGGATTTAAATTTTGCAAGATCGTAGCCACTGGAAAAATAAGGTAATGATTAAGTGTTTCATTTGCAGCAAGGTCAAATAAGATAGTCCATTCTACTTTGTCTCATAGATTATGACTGCTTAAATATAATAGTTGAGTCAAGAGGCACCTGCACCAATTGTAACTACCTTTTTACCACTCCCTTTCAAGTAAAAGGCATTTATGAAGGAAGTTTGGTGAAAGTTGCTGCAGCTACTGGTGTGCCAAAACAGGTTGGACGTGATGGTAATGCTTTCTTTGAGATCTCTGGTCACTACTTCTGTATTTTGATCTCAAATTTCAGTTTATAATTGTACAGACCAATTATTTGTAAGGACAGTTGTTGCTCTATGTATAATGATCTTACTAACAGATGATTGATAATATGAAAAGAGGCCGAAGGCAACTTAAATTGAGGTCTGTACAAATACTGCCCAAATGTGATGAGTATTTTTTTTTGCATTAATGCAATTTTAACTTCAGGGTTTTCAGAGGAGTTTGGCAAAACAAGTTGTACTAAACAGAGGTTTGAAGGCAAGGTAAGGGCTTCCTTTCCTTGTTATGAAGTGTCTGTGTTGGGTGCAGCCATTCAAAGTCCACCCATTTGTACTGCTCACCTTGCTTATATCAGATTCAGATTTGCTGGAGCACATACTCTGAAGTTCCTTGACAAGGTCTGTTTCATCATCCGAACCCAGAGAGAATCTCTGATCCAAATTCAAGCTCAGTGATAGGTCGGTCTCTAAAGATCTAACACAAAGTTCAGAGCAGAGTTTTTCAAAATGAGAGCAACGATCCAGTTCCCAATGTAGAAATCTAGACAGTTCGCCTTTTGGGGAGTGTCGGTGTGGGGTAGGAAAAGCATGTTTAGTGTCTTATAAATTCATAAGTGTCATGTAATGTGACAACCTGTTCCCATACTGGGAGAGGCTAAACTACTAAGGCAGTAAAATTTCCGTAAGATTTTGAGAATCTTGACAAAGATACCTGCTTTGACACCTAGCACTCCAGTCTCCTTACTCTTACCTTTCCTATTTTGTCTTCAAGGCTAAATAAAGCTAAGACCCTAAACACTGTGGCACAGGGAACAAATAATTTTCAAAATTGATCTGACTGACCACTTAACTGGCTGGGGTCAAGTTTTCTTTTTTACCTTAACACCTCTGTGTCCATATTCCCTTCTCTACCGAATCCTTAAATGACTGGGACTAGCCACAGTGGGCCTGGCGAGAAAGCAGCATGTGCTGCAGCTTCCTTCTTTCTATAGTTTTGAAAACCAGGGTCCTCTATGTTACCTGCTAAGTTCTAGGCCACAGTCTGTAAATAGGGACAAAAGGTCCCCGTGGTAACTCAAACTGATGATGAACCCAACCAGGCTTCATACCTCAAGACTTCTAAGCTGAGACACTTCCGTGGGAGCGACACATGAAATTATCATGTCAACATTTAGTACTTTCTGTAAACCCAGGATTAAAAAGTTACTTAAAGCCTCTTTAAAAATTCATAAATGCAAGGATTCACTGTTTTTCTGCAAATGTATTAAGTTATATTAACCATAAGGATCTATCTGCTTGGGTTTCATTCCTTAGATTTCAGCTTAACATGAATCATCCCTATTGCTTTTTAAAAATAGTTGCAAAAACGAATCATGAGATGTGTGTGTTGTTTCCTACATGTTAAATCTGAAAAGAGAACTTACTTTTGTTTTGACAGAGAGGTATTCTTGTTACAGTTCGATTGTGGTATGGTCTTATTTTTCATACCTGTTTAAAGAAAAATAATTATTTTCAACAGAATGAATCATTGTCCCAGTGCAACTTAAACTCTGTATTTAAAAGAAGCAGACTTTCATTTTGTTTTTGGATTAAATCCACCCTTGAGTTTTCCTCAGGGTAGCGGCTCTGGATGTAGCTTCCTGCCAGGCAATGCAGGAAGGAACCAACTCCCTCCTGTGTATTTATGACTGAAGTCACCACCCAGAGCTCAATTCTGAAGTGCTGAATTTTGCCTTTATCATGGCCCCTCTTCTCGCTAGTCAAATCTCTTTCTTTAAGCTTCAGTTTTCAAAGTGCCTCAAGAGCATTTTAATATCTGCCTTTTGAAGATGGTAATTTCTCTACTTTTGTTTGCCTTCCAACATCACTGACCCTGTAAATCAAGTTTAGTGTTTGATCTGTGGGCGCCTACAGTGCAAGTGACACTGCAAGCATACTTAATAGAAATTTAACATTTAATTGTTTGTGTTACATAGAAAATGTAAAGAGCACACAAAAGCCAAACAATAGTAATGTTTGCTATCTATACACACAAATAGGCTTGCACTGATTACATAAAATATAAGCCATTTCAGATTCCTATAAAACGTCTATTTTTGTAACTACATTTTATAAGCGTTTTAAAACATTAGCTGCTTCTGAGTGAATCGTGAAATTGTTTGAATATTTCTAGCACAAATGATCTCTAAAAATGAAGTAAATTGAATTTAATATATTCTCATTAAAAGCAGATCGTCAGAGGAAGTCTCTAGTGTTTTCACTTCTTTACCCACACGGCTTCCCCCTGTAAGTACAGGGACTTGGGCACAATTATCCAGAAGCCTGTAACTAGAAACCACTCACTTTTCTATTTTAAGTTAGGAAAGGGCTGTGTCTTCACCAAGCCTTCAATGATTTCCATGGAATGAAAATGGGTTCTAATTTTGGTGTAATTGATAATAGTGTCAAAAAACAAAAAAATCAATCCATACATTGTTGTAATAATCCTATATCAAAAGCAATTAATTTTTTCCCTAATAGTAACCCATGGTTCATTCTCCTAATTGGTTTAGATTTTATAAATCTGTTAAAGGCAATATAAACTATGATTGCACATAATTTCTATTAAGGTTTCCTAGAAAATAGCAAATAATTCTATGAAATAATGAAAATATTAATCATTTAGTTTTTTTTACTTTTTAGCATAAGGTTTTAGTTAGAGCTATGTTTATCATATTGCTATAAATTCACATTTATTCTGTTCATATTGTCAATGCTATTTAACTCCAGAAAGAAGCTGATCCTAAACGTTATAAAAACTGATCCATTGGGAAATGATTGTGAAGAACCTGGATGGGTGTCTAATGACCTGCATGTTCATGAATACATGTGCCACAAGGACCCCATATTCCCAGCAGGGGATCTGGAGCAAGCAGGGGTTCTGAACCTCAATTTTGTTCTCTGTAAATGGAGAGAATTCCCTTGAGTTCTTTTGCATACTCTCAAGGCTTAGGGTCTTCTGATGAGGAGTCTCTATGTTTAATATGAAAGTACATTAATGCACAAAAGCAACAGCAATTCTTGGAGACTTTAATAGCAACCCCATGCTAAGTTGGCCTAAATTACACAAAATGATTCGTAGGATTCTCAATGCATAAAATTGTTAATAAGCCAAAAGGAATAGGTTTAACATAATGGATAGATTGATTAGAATAAAACCTTCCTATTCCTTTTATATATGACGTTCTCCTTCTATTTCAGTAACTAGAAGGGCGGGATTTTGGCTGAATGCATAGCTCTATTCCCAATGCTTATAATAAAACCTGGCATACACCGTAGATGAAACAGAAACAAATAAAAATGAAAGGCTTTCAACTAAATAGTATAAACTGTACACATACATCTAAATATTACGTTTGGCACAGAGAGGACATATAGAAGGGCAGAAATGTGCCAAAGTGCAACTCATATATTACATAAGTTGTGACCACCACAAAAATCTAAAATGACAATCAATACCATAACTTAATTTTAGAATTCTATAGTGAAGGACTATTTTTCATATAGGGGGATCCCAAATATTTTTGGAAATGTACTTACCATATTTGTGTACTCCATGAACATGTGCACTGAAATACTCAGAATTTTGTTGAAAGATGAAAAGCACCTTTTATATTCAGAAGACAGACCCTGGATGCCAGTGTACTTGTAGGTGGCATGCCAACCCCCCTCCCTTACCTTCCTGGCTCAGGTCCGGCTTGATCCAGATAGGGGAAGAGAAACGGCCAGACTTCTTGCGAGGACTGGTGCTCACCTTCCTCCAGGCACCAGGGTCTGCTTTCTTCTTGCTACAGCTGTTGTAACTTGAAACTATGGACAGAGGGAAACTTCCTCCTTTGAACTCAACTGTATGCTGGTCTAGTTCTGAAATAAACCACATTTTGTCAAAACGAAGACATGGATCATGCAGTTTCTTAAAGTCGAGCAAAACCCAACATTTCCAATTCTCAAAGACATAGTTTCTTGCATTTTTCAAAAAAAGTCATGGGGTCTACCTAATAGCAAAGCAAGGGTTTTGTGAGTCAGCTCAAATTTTACTTGGAGATCTGCAATTTAAACATGAGCCAATCATAGAAAACCAGTTCTGGTGCAAGGTTACAAAATGGCCATTCATGTTCAGAAGATTTCTCTAGTTACAAAGAAAAGGCAGCTCACTAAAAATAAATTCAAACAGATAATACACAAGGGTGTGAATTTCCTTCCCTCCCAGGTGAATGCACATACCTGCTCTCTGGAGGGGACAGTCATGCAGAACAGCTTTATTAAGCAAGATGCTGAGCGCAGCTTTCACCACAGCCTGCTGTCCTTGGCTAGGGTGTTTTTTAACAACTGTTTGCGCGAAGCCAGACTGTCTTTTCACAGAGGCTCTTGACAATATTGCTTCTTGAACTCGGGGTGCAATGACCGCATTCCACAGCTGAGACATCCACCTGGGGGGAGAGAGGCAGATTCCTAGTTGGGACCAGGCCTTTTGCAAATTACACTTGATATTACCATGGGCAAAAAGAAGTGTTTGCATAGATGTTAACTTGTTCAGTAACTTTAGAATTTATCCAATACCAAAGGACTTTGCCTCAAATATACACTGCCTTTCAGATGAAACTGTGATCTCTTTTACTTTATCAAGTCCTTGAGAACAGAAACAATGTTTGCATATTTGCTGAATGAATGAATGAATGCATGCATGGATAAATACATGGAAAGCAAGGTTAATTTACAGATTGTAACTTGGAAAAAAGACTTCTGGAAAGTGTGTAAGTAGCTTAACCTTATTTGCCATATTTCTGTAAGACACACAATGTATTTTAGTATATTTGAAAATGGACCATACCTTACATCAATGGTAAATTAAATCTGCCTGCCCCATGGCAAGGGCTCAGTGTTGGCATAAGGTAGGCTCAGCTTGGCGGGGCGGGGGGCAACCACCCATTGCCTCAGTTGGACTCTTTACACTAGTAGCTTATAGCAGTGGGACTTTACCCCAAGTTTCCAGCCCTCAATACCAGTGACAATCCTTTAACAAAGACTACACTTTGCTGCAGCACTGGGAACAATTACTGTGGTTAAAGGTTGCAGAAGCAAGCTATTGAATGTTGGCAGAAATCTTTCAAATACTATTAAAACTCTCACCTCTGTATTAAGTACCTATATTGCAAGTTGCTCTGTTAATGTCTGGTGATACTAAATTCAAGGAAAAGTGAAACTAGAATAAGGAAGGTAAGTTGTAAAAATAGTATGCTACATCACCAAACACGCAGTTTAGCACCTAAAGGCGCTAAAGGGTAAAGATGATAAGCAATTGTCAGTGGCATTTCTGTCTTGTTCTGGACTATCTTTTCAAGGATGTAGGGAGCAATAGGATCCTTCCAGAGCAGAGGGCAGATCTGAGCGAGATAAAGTAATGTCTCCTTCCAGGGCAAAGGATTTGCCAGTCCTTCTAGAACACTAGGGAAGCTCTAAGCTCTGCAGGTGCGATGCAGACAGGATCTCCCTGGGCATCCAACATCAAGGTGAAGCTCAGGCTGTTGTGCTGAGGGATGAAATGCTGGCCTCAGACCTGACACCCTGAACGAGCAGCAGGAAAACTTGCTAGGTTGCAAATGGGGTAAACATCTCAGGGCCTCTAGTTCATGCCCGTGATGGCTCTGTACAGGAAAGGCCAAAACTGACTCCTAAGAATCCTGAAACTATGGCTGTAAAAAAGGATTCAATTTAATCAAATACCGAAGGGGAAAAATGGGCAAATACATAAATTCATTTCTGCTTTCTGGCAAGAAAATGCTGCGTATGTTCTAAGAGTATACTTTTCCTTTTCTCTCAATTAACTGTTATTAAATTGATAGTTTGGCTTACAATATAGAGCATAAATTATTGTGTACCTTGTTTTTCAAGAGGATTTCTGCCCAGGATGTCAGAAAATGCAGAATCAAATCTAAAAGCTAACCACAAAATCCTCACTAGGTTGGATGGTGAAACATTTTTTTCCTCCTTTTAATTTCCTGATTTTCTATTTCATTAAGCTTATTGAATGTATGTTCTCATAAGCTACTATAAAGGAAAAGACAGTAAGTGTGTAAGTCTAGGCAGCTTTCCAATGGAACAATGGAGTAATATGGGGGGGTGAGTCAGTTGTAGGATACCTGACAAAATTTCTCATATGGGCCTTGCTGAGGAGACACCTCCCAGCAGGCCACACATGACTCTCCAACACACAGGGCGCAGCCATCCTCTGACAGGAGGTGGCCATAACGTAACCCCTTGAGCTTCCTCACTCTCAAACACCCCAAGCGGCCAATGCTCTATTTTAAATAGGCAAATAAGGAGAGATGACACTTACTTCACAGTTGCATGGGCGTGGCCTGGGACAACAGGACAGGACAGGAAATACTTTGGCCCGAGCAGTGCTTCAGGTGTGCCCAAGCGGGCCAGGCAGGCATTGAGCTGGTGCCAGACGGCCAGGGCCCAGTCGACTGTCTGGCACACAGGGTCGCAGGGAGAAGGCAGCTGACCTCTCAGCTACAGAGACAGGGGAGCAGAGCACAGGAACTAGGCTGAGAATGGTGCTAGTTCATATTTGACATTTAAATCCAGAACACAAAAATGTAGATGAATCTGATTTTAACTTCATTTTCAGAGCTATTATGTTGTTCCACAATTCCATGTGAGTATGAGATGCAGACCCAGATCTGTACCTTATTACACGGAACAATGGGTACAGACACAATAGAGCAGATATAGAAGAAATGTTGGGTGAATTCTTAAACATCAGGTCAAGGAGACATTTCCCTGTGAATATATGGTACTTCACTGGACCTTGCAAATAGATATTGAACAAAAGTTTCTGAATTAGTGATATAAAAGACATTTTTATAATCTTGGTAAAAATAGTAATAAATCTGTACGTGACAAGTTCACCTTGTATTCATTTTAATTTCATAGCAATGTCTTAGCTGAAATGTTAACTTCACTAAATGTATAGAAATTTGTCTGAATTGTAAAATGTGCAAATTCTAAATATTATGTAAACATACATGGTTTAGTGGGACCAGTTCTTTTTTAGAATTTTTATAAAATCAAGCCCTTTTTTGGGCAATACAGAGGGGTTCACAAAAGGACAAAGATTTACTCACTATTAGAACTATCCCTCCCATTTTTAAAGACAGCAATTATTTAGCAATCTATTTTATAAGAAAGGAGATGCACATAAACTTTTGCTTTACAAAGTAACTAAGACCGAAGAAACCAGTGGTTGCTGGTGTGTCCTATGCCAGGGGATCTATTTTGGCCTCGAAGACAGGAGAGGTCAGTGCAAGTGGCATCTGTTTATAACTTCCCCCTGTTCAAAAAGGAATATTTCTATTTCTCCTTTTCTGATACTCTTCTAAGTAAAAATGAGATCATGTATTACAATGACTGATAGGTGAATATTTCCTACTAATGAAAGTATAATTATTTCTTATCAAATCCTTGTCCTGAAAGAGCTGTTTCCTTATATCCCTGGATGAAACTGGAAGAAATTGAATCACATGGCCATGTGCTGCTCAGGGCCCCCAAAGATTTGATCCCACTCTGCAGTTGAAGGTTTCTGATGTTTTGCAGTCCCCTTACACACTCACCCTGGAGTCCATTTTTAATAGCCTACTTGAGATGACTTGTGGTAAACAAAAAGCATTAAGAAAAGCATTACCTATTTTCCCTCTTTCTATTCTACGTAGCACAGTCCACAGCCCTACTCTTGAACACAATGGAGAAAAGAACAGGCTTGACGCTTGCAACTCTCCTTTCAAAATAAGGGAAATCAACCCTTTTCAAATTATGCATAGCAAAGAGCTGGAGGGAGCATATGAGGGAAGAGCATTTTGCTTGAAATGGTGCCTCATCTACACCATACAACGGTACCTTTAAGAAGATTGGCATGGCCCCTGCACAAGGGTGGCATATAGATTCCTGGTCTATCTCCCATTTTCCCCTTAGGTAAAGTAAAGATGTTGGGTGATTAGCGTTCAATGCAGATTCATCCTTGGTCAAAAAATGTACCATTTTTGTGAGATTGCTAATGGGGACTGTGTATGTGTGGAAACAGATGTGTGGGGAATTTGTATTTCTTCAATTTTATCATATATCTGAAACTGCTCTTTCAAAAGTGCGTAAAAAAGGGTACCTTTTGTGATGGTGTGACATGTAGAAAGATAATGAAGTGAATAAAAGTTCTCTGATTACAAAAGCTGCAGACCTGAGCACCTTCATCTCCACTTTCTTCCTACTGTTTGAGCTCACACGTTGGCTGTGCTTTGGTCAGAAGCATATTTCCCAACACCCAATGACTTTCACATCGCTTGGGATAGATTTTTCTCATTAAATTAGTAATTCGGTTACTCAATTCACCAGTGTAGACACGGGTCACTGAATTCCCAACGCCATTTCCAGCACTTCCCCCCCCCCTCACCCAGCAGACAAAGAATTTTGTTCAGGTACTTGGTGGAGAACTATGATCTTGGAAAGGAGCTTTGCTCACATGAAACCAGTTCTGGCTAATGAAACACTAAGGGGAAGTCTTATGTTGCTGGGAGTTTCAGAAAAAGATGCTTTCCTTCCTGTAAGGAAACTAAGGAAGCCAAAGTGCTCTCTCGCCAAGGCGCCCACCCTCCTTTGGGCCCTTTGAACATGTTTGTGTAAGAGCGGGGGCGCTCATGTCCTGCAATCTTTAAGGGAGTTCAAGAGACTTCCCCCCAAATCCAGGGGTCTGACATCAGAAAGATGCTGAACAAAGGTCAGCAACACCCACCAGAGACATCTGGTCATAAGGGCGGGGACTTCTCTTGGTGAAGCACTGGCATTTGGGTACTATTTGCTGCTTGAAAATACTGTGCTGATACAACAAAGATAGTGTCCTCCAAACGTGGCCCTTAGTATGGGATTAAGTAATAAAATCTTGCTAAATTGAGTTGTTATTTTAAATCCAAACTGACACTCAGCTCCTGGCCCCATTCAAGAATATTAAGTAGTGATTGGCTATTTTGATGAGCACTAAATGAATTTTGGTATGTGGGAGACGACAGAAAAACCACTAAAAGATGATTCCTCTTGAAAATGTGTCAAAACAGAATTCCATGCTTTCATGTGACTATTTATACTTAATACCACCTAGGCTAACAGTTGTATGTACAACTACCTTGAGTGGCTGGATGATGTTGTAATAAGGCAGCAAAGTCTTTTTTTCTTAAGAGTGCTCACTTTTCTAATCTAGCTTTCTATAGTACTTAGCATTTGGGGAGACTCCACCAAACCAGTTCATAATAGTAAAACCTATGGTCTAAAAGCAATTAAAGGTTTTATGTGCATTGTTTTACTTAGCCCTTGAATATGCAAAAATGTTTCTTGCCCGAGGCCATGGGGTGAAGGGTCGAATTTTGCCCAGAGCTGATACTATAGTGCCCTCTCCTGGCAGCAGGCCGCAGCTGCAGCAGGTTACCTTATTCACGACCTGCCTCCGTAGGAAACGCTGCAGCAGTCCGCGCATGGGCTCGCCGTCCCAGCGCAGCTGGACCCAGCGGAAATGCTGCTGCACCAGCAGGTCGGAGCCCTGCAGACAGGCCTTGGCGATGGTTCCCATCAGAAAGCAGTTCTCGTGAAAGTAATAACATTCGGATGCTCCATTTCCTAAGACAAACAAAAGCACACCATATTAGGGGACAATGGCAAAATGATGGGAGAAGCATAACTCGTACTCTGGGGAACAGCGAGATTAGTCTGCGCTCACAAGCATGCTTCTCAGCACGCGTTCTCCTCTATTTTTACCTTTTTGAAAAATATAGGGGCTCTCAGTGCTGCGATTTTCCAGAGGTGCCAGAAAGTCTCCCAGTAACTCAGACAATGAAGATTTTTCCAAATTCTCTAAGATGACGATGATTTTCTTGTTGACAGGAGACTGTTTCACTGGGATCAGACAGGCTGTGGCATAAAGGAAACCCAGTGATTAAAGCTTTTGCACAGACCTGTACAAATTGGCAAAAACAAAAATGTCTGAAGATGTATTAGTAAAGGTGAGACACAATGGGAAAGCTCTAAAGTCCCCGGGGCACTCGACACTCTGGCGAACGGTGTGGCATTATTTCATACAGCTGCAGACACACACATGACAACCCATCACTGTAACGGCTCCCCAGTGGAGTAAACCCCAGTGTCTACCAGTGATGGCGAGGGTAGTCTGTTCACATACTCGGTATGAAAGTGAACAAATTCCGACTGCAAGCAGCACCATGGGGACTCATAGCACACTAAGAAGCAAATCACAAAGTAATATACTATTTTCCCGTTCAGTTCAAAAGCAGGCAACACTAGATGTGTAACTTAGGGACACACACATAGATAGTAAAGCCACAAAATAAAGCTAAAACAATTATCACAAAAGATAGACATGTGGTTACCTCCAGAAAGGGGGAGGGACTCATGGGTACCTTCTGGAAACTGAGAATATTCTATTGTTTTTCTCGGTCAGTGGTTATATGGTTATTCTGTTAACAATTATTCTCCAATCTGTATATGTAGGCAATATTTTCATGGGTGTATTTTTCATAATACAAAAGGTCAAAAACCCTTAAATTACCTTGGACTAAAGTTTCAGAAACAGCAGTAAGGAAGGATCAGAATCTAGGACTTCATCTTATTTTACTGGTGCTCTCAGGAAAGAGGGAACTGAACTGCCTAATCCACAATGGAAGATGGAGAGTGAATGGGAGACGATTATAGGAAGGAAATGAGTCAGCCACAGACAAAAAGTGGTAGATCCAGAGTGTCAGGTTGGGAGTGACAAAGTCCAAACTCTGGGAATAGTGGACATCTTAAAGGAGGGAAATAGGACGAAGGCCTGCTTTGAGCTGTCACTCTGATGAAGAACTGACAGGAGAAAGGTAACAGAAGAACATTCCTACAAGCTCTTATTACTGAGGGGAAGGCGAGAGGTAACAGGCCCCTCATCAGAGCCAGCACAGAACAGGAAGGGGTTTGGAGAGAGCAGCAGGACTCGGTGGCCGGCGGTGCTGAGAGGGGAGGACAGGAACCATCGCAGACAACTAAAGAAGTTTAAATATAATGAACATGGCACAACTTTAGTTCAATCTAGATTCTTTTATACTCTTTAAGGTGACCCCAAGTACATGGTCACCCCTTTGGGCGTGGAAAGCTGTGCATCCTTTATAATGCCCCCTTAGAACACGGCTCTGCAGGGACGGTGCTGAGAGTGCACATGAGAAGCAAGGAGCGAACCTTCTAAGAGCCTCCATTATGACAGTGCTCTGTGGCCACATTCTCCTACCATTATCACAACTCTACTGCAAAAAGAAAGTTCACTCAGGAATTTAAAGCATCACTTTAAAGTTCTGGCCTGGGCCTCCCCTGGTGGCGCAGCGGTTGAGCGCTGGGCCTTGCTAGCGTTAAGTGCCATGTCATTCTTTTTATAGTTGTTTTTGTTATTTTTAAATGACTTTCTTTTCTTCACGAGTCTCCATATACATTTTAGAGTCTTAAAGAGAAACACTTAATGTAGCTTTGCTGCTCTTCCCTCTTATATTTTTTGCTCATCCACTTCTTTTATTCATACTCTGAGATCTAGGAAGCAGATTCAAAGGAATTCAACACTGACTCATGGGAGATGAGACAAATGGAGGAATCCACACTAACGCTCAGGTTGCTCACTTGGACAAGTGTATTCAAGGTCTTAGGATCTTCATTTGACTCTGTTGTTATTAGAAAGAAAAGAATGACAGCACCAGATAGAAACACCCTTTCATATTTAGAGATGATACACCATTTCCTACATAAGTAGTCAGAATGCAGCCTTTTTTTTTTTTAACCACAGTCTGTAGTTCCAAAACCACATTTTTCAATTCCTGTTCACTTTCCTTTATGTCCTATCATCGGTTACTCCTTTAAAATCAACTCCAGCCCTCTCTAATCTTCGTTCTTTCCACCTCTGCTCCAAGCAAGTTCTTCTGCTTACTGACACAGAATATAACGTCGCAGTTTCTGTCTTTCCCATGCTATCGACTGCATCAGGACATTCACCCATTCATTCAACCGTTACTGGTAATCGTGGAAGGAAAAATCCAACAGGCTATACTACTGTCCCCCAAGTGGCTCACGATGTAATGTTGTGATCAAGACAAAAGCCCAAATGATGGCCTCTGTGCCTTGAGTTACAGTTGGGGGGGGAGTGGGCAGGCGGGGGAACTGAGGTATAAAAGTTTCCTGCTGCCCATTAGGGGAGCAGTCATGTCCGGAGGGAGCACAGAGGCTTTCATTTGAGGTCTCCTTAGAGCATTTAACAGGGTCCTTTTCTGTAGTTCCCAGAAGGCCAGATCTGATTTTAATCAGACTGTACAATATTGTACTTTGCATAGTGCCTGCCATGTGGTAGTTATAATGTGTGTGTGGGCTGGGAGGAGTTTGTGTGTTTCCTCTGTAATTCTAGATGAAAAGCTGCAGCACGAACAAAGACAGTGGAAAAGCAAAGGACACGCAGGGAAGACGCGCCATCTCTGGCTGGGGCACAGGCATCTGTACGAAGGACAGTACACGGGTATCCTAGCACAGAAGGTCTTGAGGGGTGTTGACTTAGTTCAGTGGTCAGTGGAGGGGTGGTGGGGATGGGAATCGCAGAGAGTGTTTAGTTGGTAGCCAGTGAAGGGGTAGAAGGGGTAGAAGCAGCAGAAGGCAGAGCAGCCATTTTCAGGAAAAGTAGGTGAGCTCCAAGAAAGGCGCCTTAATGGAAGATGGTACCCGTGAGAATGGATGGAAAAGGAGACCAGTGTGTGAAGATATGATCCCAGGACTGACTGCAGGCCAAGGCTGAGGGGGTCCATGGATGAGAAGACCTGGTGGGGGGGGGGGTTGTGTTCTTCACTGCTTTAAAATATGAAATACTTGACACCATTGAGAGAACAAAACCCCAAATTTTCACATTAAAACCTGGGTTTCTGGCTTTTTCCTAAAGTCACAAGACCTTCTGTCAGCAACATGGCGCTGGAGCTGAGCAGCTGCCTCATGTAGCGGGAGATAAGTTCCCCTCCTGCACAGCCCCATCCAGCCTGCTTCGCCCCCATGTGCCTTGTTGGAATTTGTTTCCAAGCCTGGGCTTCAAGTAAGTGGGGCCGAGGAACCTGTGCCACTCACCAAACTGGGAAATGAGAAAGAGGAGCTCTGCTTTGAGGTGCTCCCCATGGATTAGGGATGTTGAGCTGGACACTTTTACATTCTTCCTGACCTAATTCACTATTCTCCAAACTTCTGTAGTTACTAGCGAGAAAAATTATTTCAGCATCTTTACGTTGGGATATAAGCCTAGTAGGGTTTGTTGTTTTCTGTTGTTGTAATTATGCAACTAAAGTGGGAAACAGAATTTCAGCACAGGGGAGATTTTGAAGGGGTGGTGGCTGGCAGTGAGGAAGGGCAGGGTCAAAGGCCTGACAGGCCGAGGTTGAGTCCTGTCCTTCTGTGTCCTCACATGGGGTTCTGGTGGAGGGTGCTCGACTTCTTGCCGCAAGTGTTTTCACGTGTATAAGTCAGGGTGTTTGGACTAGCATCTACCAGGGTCAGAGCTCAATAAATGTTAGCTATTACCAGCAACGGCAACTGAAGAAACAACTTTCTCTAGCTCACTTTTGCTCGTTTCCACGCAGAGAGTGGCCCAGGCAGTATAGCAACGGTCAGATTCTAGTGGGGTTCTCCTGCCGTCAGAATGTGCTTCTATACAGATTTGTGGAATCCTTGGGCCCTCTCCAAGTGATCTTACCGCTAGTGATGAACAAGTCTACTAGCTGTTCCTTGGAGAAAGCAGCATCCACTTCGGCTCTCACTATCTCACAGGGGAACCCTGCAGCCATCTGTCTGTGCTGTGATAAGAGAGCAGAGTGATTAGTTCTACACACTTTTGAATTTTCAAAGAAAAGGAGAGGGCACGCAAGCAATCGATACCTTCATGCAGTGTGCAAGCTGATGTGCTATGTAGTCTTGCAGGCTTCCTTCTGGGCCATGGAAAATGACATTATGATATTGTTCAACCTATTAATAAACCAGAGAGACACGTTAGGTGAAAGTGCTAAGGAAGGGAAAATAGTGGTGGGTTAAGTGTGAAACTCCCTTTCTGGTTGTCCTTAGCCTTTAAAAGATTACTGTTTTAGGGGCAAGTTTTATCCATTGGGCACTTGAAATCTTTCATTTTAATGTAAACAACTAGCAAATATAGTCTTCATATAGTATTATATGCTTTATATAGTATTTATATATTTATAGCATGATCTGACATTTCATGAAAAGCATTTTCTTCTCTGTTCTAGAATGAGGTTCAGCAGTAGCTGGGAAACACAGATTGCAGATGTTCTGTTATTTTCCTTTATGATCCCCACCAGGTGCTCTATAGTTTGAGTTTTCCAAATGCTTACTTTACTTTCTAGTGGCTAAAACAGCAATGAGATTCATTAAGGAAATTTCAAATACAGAGAAACTTAACGAGCACAATAAAACTCATGGATAGTATCAGCCACCTTCTACCTTTCTTCTGTACACAGGTGATGTGTGTGTTCATGTATTTCTGCAGAAGGATATGAGTATAATCTTTTTACATGGTGTATGTCAGAGAATATCTTCGTATTGACTTTTTACATAAAAGATATCGTGATAAGTATACAATTTTTTGGTCAGCTGTCTTTATTATGCAGTTGGTGTTTCAAAGAAATCTGGCTATAGGCTGGCCACTTTCACTTTGTGAAAAAAGAAAATCTGCTGCCTGCATGTCTCCATGGAGTGATTATATGACACACTTCCCAGATGCACTACAGGCTTGCTCACCCACCGAATTCAGGCTCAGCTATTTCTGGGAGCATTGCTCTCCTACAGGATGGGAAGGACCTATATAGACAAAGAGTGGAGGAGAGCATCATGGGGCTGTAAAAGGCAGAGACAAAGGAGAAAAGGTCTCTGCCCAATTTTCTAACCATTGTAAATCTTGCCTTAAAGAATCATTAGGATGATCGTTAAGAGAAGGCTGAGAGTTTCTCTACCTGGTTTCAGGTAGGTCTCAAATAAGTAGGCCTAACATTTCTTGCCCCTAAAAATAGAAATTTTTTTCCTGATTCTTGTCAAAAGGAAACTCAGTTCTATTTTTCTCTATTATTGTGAGGTTTTATATCACTTTGCAAAAGCACTTTAGTGGGAAATTGTGTGTTAGGTACTGCTAGCCAGATGCAATTTTAGAGCAGAATGTTTGAGTGCTCCAACTTAATCCCAAACTGCCATGACTTATTGAATAGAAATTCTCTCACAAGGAATGGATTGTTTCACACCAGTGAAACAGGATACAGATTTTCAAGATTTACTGAATATTCTACCCCTGAGACTTTCAACTAGCATTGCTATTTAATCTTGTCTCACTTCTGAAAACAAGAGTACTCTGTTCATTATAGCTATCCTGTCCAACTACCTACACTTTCTTAAGATTGATTTTGAAATCATACAACGGCAAGAGACCCAGCGTTATAGATAAGCTGTCTTCAATTTCAACACTCCGTTTATTTTCAGATTGCAGGTTCTTATAACATGCAGACAGGAAGCATTCAATTTAAAATTTCATTGAAAAGGCCATTCATCAGCAGTAAGCACTTTGTATTCTTAGTCTTACACCCTTTCTGTAATAAGGTAAAATATAAATAAGCATATTAAGTAATAAAAGGAAAAACAGGTTTCTTGATCATTCCTTCATTCTAAGGCATGCATTCTTAGTAGCTTTTCTCAAGTAATATCAATTTTTTTGTTAATGGGATTTGTTCTATCTCATCAAATGATGTAGTAGTGTTGGTTACCATTTGGAATCTGAACAAAAAATATTAATTACTTGGAGTCTGTTGCTCTTCTGAGACTGGTAAAGACATGTAAAACCATGCCAAGAAACATATTTATCTGTTTAATGCTAGCAAACTCTGAGATATAATACATACACCTATTCCATGCTTCCAGTGGAGGGCTCTGATATAGACAGATAGATATAGATAGACAGACAGACAAGTCTGTAGGTAGAGAGGCAGGCAGAGGTGGAGGGGATATTTTTAGTGTCTTGAAAGGCAATCTATTCTTTGAAATAAAAGGTCACACTGAACTTCTAATAGGTGAACTGTAGTTACCAGAATTATGCACAGTGCAGCTTACAATGTGACATTTTTGCTTAATGTAAAGTGAACACTGGTCATGTTGTCACAGCTGGTACCAATCCCTTTTATTCTCGTATCTTCACAGTCTATTCAGGAAGCTCTTATCACATGTCAATGAGTGCTTTGTGAGGCAGATGGATTCTGTGTTAATGGAAACAATGATCTTCACAAAGCGCTATTTCTGTTTTTCTACATAACAGTTCACTAGAAGAGCAGTGGTCCTGCTATGATCAGTGTGGCACCTATGATGTGTTTCCAGACCTGTGGCATCATTTTAACACAATAAACCTCAGCTCTATTGTTTGGAGTTTTACTCATTAGTGTCTGTGGGAAGCATCCCCTGCCCAGAGACTGTTAGGCAAAGTTGTGCTGATGAGGTGAACTCAAAAAATTATGGAAAAGTTCTTTACTGAGGGCCTCCCTGGTGGTGCAGCTGTTAAGTGCTGGGCTGCGAAGCTGCCCGCAGCCTCTGCAGCGCTGGTTCGGTCCCCGGCCGCTGGGCGAGGGTCCCACATGGTGCGCAGACCTCTCCTGCCACCCGCTGCTCCCCTCAGCAGTGTACTTTGTCAGTCTCCCTGTTCTGTTCCCTGCTCTGGTGAATTCTCTCACCCTCCTACGCTTCTGACTGTACCCAGTGCTTATATAAACAAACAAACAAACAAACAAACAAACAAACAAACAAACAAATAAAAGTTCTTTACCGAGCCAATAAAATTGAGAGTGTACAGCTTATAGTGTCATGTTTAATAGTTAGGACTTTCAGTCTCACCTTTTATGACACTTGATTTTAAAGAACGAATGTATTTGTCATTATAGTCCCAAACGACAGTTGCTATCAACTCATATAAAATCTCCCCCAAACAATATTTGCATATCCAGCATCAGAGAAACAATAAACTGGAGCACTTCATGGTAGAGAGGATTGTAACCATTTGCTGAGGTCCCCTTTTTTAGAATAGGTATAAAAGAATGGGAACTGAAGAGAAATTAGAGCATATGTGTGCTAGTTGCGTTCACACATACACACACACACACACACACACACACACACACACACACACACACACACACACACACCCCTTTTTAAAAAATTAGCTTCCACTGTAAAAACTAAGACCAGACTTGGTTATTAATAAAGACAAGCCCTAGTTTATTAACACGGGCATAATACTTTGATATTGTCAATCTTGAAAAAATGAACTATATAGTGTACCTCTTGGTTGTAAGAGTTCTCCCCCAGCACTCAGGCACTGTCCCTGCTCTATACCCCCTCTGGGCAGACACTAATACCATGGAGCCAAAGGATACACCTGCATGGAGCCACATCTTTCTCATAGCAGAGAAAGCCATTTCCTCCTCCCGCCACCCCCCATGTCCCAACCCTGAAAAAAGTCCAAGCAGAATTGCCAACTGATGAGGCACCGATAGAGCTTTTGTGGGCTGGCTTAGACCATCATTCACAACACACAACAACAACAACAATGCTTTTGTGGGAAAGCAGCAAATTTCTTTTAGAGATGGATGAAAAAAAGTAGAATCTCCTCATGCTGATTCTTAATGATTACTACATATTGGCGTAGACAGTCAACAGGCAGAGAAAATCACGAGAAATGATGTCCTAAGGGATTCACAATCCTATTTTAAAATAGGGCTCAGCTCTGAGTGACCCATTTAAGTATTTTCTAATGCAAAATTATTAATAGCTACTGAATTATTATACAAGTCACTAATAAACTAACAGAATTTCAAACTGGCTCAGAGAGATGATGCAAAAAGTTCGACAATTTTACATCATTAACGAGTCAAAATGCAATGAAATTGTTTCCTTATTAACTCAAGGATGAAGAATGAAAATTTACTGGTATTACTCACTACTTAAGAAAGTATTAAAAAAAAAAACTCTAAGAAAACAAAATACTTAGTTTGAACTCTTCTCTAGATATGGTTTTCTGCATAAAGACTTTAACACATGTATTTTATATAATAGACTTATGCACATAATAAAAACTAGTCACTGCAATTCTTCTTTAACCAAGAGGTTAAGCACCGATATCAAGGATGACTGATGATTGATTATATGGACGAGAATGGAATTCTGCCCAGACTCAACTCCGGAGGCCCTACTATTCACTGAGGACCTTGGGTAAATAGAGGAAATAGGTGTGAGCACCTACAATGATTAAATGAAGCAATCCACACGCTTAGAACACATCTTGGCGCATAATAAGTATTCAGTGCAAATCAGGAATTACTTGAGTTCCATATCTTCTGTACATGTTTTCAACAACTCAGACACACATCACAGTGAGCCTATGGTTACTATGCCACTGGACTAAGTCATTTTCTGCCTCAGGTCACACCAGTGGCTTCCTGAAGCACCTGCGATAAAATCCAGGCCCTTGTCATGGTCCTGCTCTCACTGCTGTTGAAACCCTGGGCACCTGCCATTCTCTCTGCTTCAAACACCTTTCTTAAAGCTGATGTCTTCCTTTCTTTTGGTTCAATGATGGTCATTACAGGAAGGTCTTCACTAAGAACTCTGTCCCAAAACTCTGTCTTCTAACTCCTTATCTGTTTTAATTTTTTCTCTAAACTGTAGTTTAGTGCTGGCTCTCACATATGTATTTATTCATTTGATTTTTATCTGTCTTCCCCCACAGGAAGGCATCTTTAGTACACATAGCTGTAACCTAAGTTTCTAACACATTACCTGCCTTTAAGGGGTGCTCAATTAACAGTTGTCAAACCACTGAATTAAATAATTAAGGTAAAAATACTTGACACGTGGGCTAGCTCTTTAAGGGGTTTATTATCTCCTATGAAGGAAGGCCCTTGCAATCATTATGCTAGTGTATAGTCTGACTCACTTGAAATTTTGAAGTGATTACTAAAATGACTGATACTCGCTTGTTATCTTTATCCAAAGGTTGTTAAAGGAGTTATCTGTATATGTGCATTAAATTGACAAAAGAGCTAACACCTGTGCTAATCTAGTCTAGTTTGCTGGTCATTGTCGGATGGTCATTGGAATCTTCTAACTAGGACAAATACACAAACCAAATGTATCTGGAATATTCGATATATCCCTGTGAGTAGTAGACATTTCATTCAACCAACCTGCTCAGCTAAGGCTAATCTGTAGCTGTAATTTAGTAGCATTGCCTTCCTATTCACTTTATCATCTAAATAGTGAAAAGCTCTGACAACATGGAGGAACTGGGGGCAATGATGCTTATGAAGGAAAATTAAGTCAGGAAGAGAAAGACCAGTACTAATGGTATCAGTTAAATGCAGACTATAGAGAAACAAAGGGTTGGCTAAAGCTGAAGCAATACGAAATCCTAGAAATCTGGCTGCAGAACTGAGACTACCAGAGAGGAATAAAAGGGGGAGAGGGAAGTGGGGAGGAGGCCCAATGGCCAGTGGTAGCAGAATTTGGGGATCTTGGTGGTGAGTATGGTGTGAAAGGGGTGATCCTGTACCTCTAAATCATATGCAATGTTGGAAAACCAATGCTACCTGAATTAAAAATAATAAAACATTAAAAATGAAGAATAAAGGGTAAAGTTCTCAGCCAGAACCTTGCCTGCTACAGAGAGGCAGAGAAGGGAAAAGGGAGAGAAAGTGGTTCTACCAGCTGATTCTGCTACAGCCTGAGGCTCACATTGCTGAAAACCAGTTGGTTAAACTTCTTCAACCTTCACTAGAGAATGAAATAGCTTCCCTTCCCATTTATAATACCCTGCAGGCATGCTTTGATGCTTTAGAGAGAGGGGAGCAAATCCCAAAAAAAAAAAGTGAAAGCATCAGCTTTAGAAGACAACATTTCTCCCAAATTGTAAGGCTTTGAATGTGTCTGCTACTGTGACTGCTTTTACAAAGCTCAATCTAGACTCTGAGCTTAGCTATAAAAGCAATGAAATCATTTGAATACTTCTTTTCATCAGCAACAAAGACACTGATTCAGTTAATGAAAACAACTTTTGTAAAGGGTCATAGACAAACCCATTCATTTTTTTTAAGGCTTTCTAAATTAAAGTAGTAAGCACAGTGGTTGTTTACTTACTGTTTTACACCAGCAACATTAGTTTCAGACATATCTCACTCTCTCTCTCTCTCTCTCTCTCACACACACACACACACACACACAGAGTGAGACACACATGGATCCATCCGGGACTTGTACAATCCTGGCTTCATCATCACAATCTCAGTGACCTTTGACATGTTACTTTTATTTCTCTGCTTAGTTTCCTACTCTATAAAATGTATTATTATTTACTACATGGGGATGTTTTGAAAACTAGGACATGTATAAGCTCTCTGCATATTGCTTTGTTCATAGTATCAGACAAATACAAAGCATTATGCTTACCATTTTGCAACTAGATTTTGTTGCTTGATGATCATACTTCCCCTTTTTCCTTGAAATAGCAGAATTGCTTATTATTATTAGCTTGGTGCATGATTACAGAGCAAAAGATCATACCTCCCAGGGAGGCAGGGACATGTATTAAAAAGTGACCCACTCCCTGGAACTGAAGGCACTGACCCTGCGGCCCCTTCCCTTAGGCTAGAACCTGGCTGTGAGGAAGTGACTCTTTTTGATCAAGGTCATACAAGCAACAAAGGACATCAGAGGAACCCCTTTGAAGGAAGGTGCTAAGACCCTGGTCTGGTCTCCTTCATCCTCCCTGATTTCTCACCTGCTGGGACTTACATATTTGAGAACAATGTGTCTCCTGTCCAGTCATAATTGGTTTCTGTTAAAATAGCCAAATCAATAGTCTAATGCTAGCACGTTTACTCAATATTTAAAGTTTTAAAGCAAGGCATTTTAGTATTTACCGTCATGCTCTTCCACACTGATCTATTACTGGATGTCATCTTTCTTAGACAAAGACAACCTCCTTTTGCCCAAATTGTAATACTTTACAAGTCACAGTACTGTCTGGGTCTGGGCAACCGAATATCTGGATGACAGGGACAGAAATCTGATAGAATGGCAGCCAGGGACACTAATGGGGTCAGAGCACAGGGAGCAGAGGGTGCTCACACTTTTCTATTCTAAACATAAAAATGGGTGACACAGTGTTCTAGTGTTGGGGATGTCAGTGTGCGATTCCACTGGGCAGTGCCCACCTACCAGCCTGAGGTAGTTCTGCAGCATCTGAAGAGGGATCATCGATGCATAAGTCACGCTACTGAGGCAGCCTTCTTGAGGTCCTGGAAGAAATGAATACACCGAAAGAAAATTGGCTCTTCCTTGTTAAATATAAATGGTCAAAACACAATTGAACCTGTCAATAAAAAGCACATTGTTTGCTGACTTATGGAGGGAGAGTGCACATTTGTCCAAGTAGCAACAGTTTGCCTTTATCATCTTGAAAACACTAACACTTGGGTACTTGCTGGTAAGCAGACACTGTTCCTGGCCTCCCAAGAGTTCCCCAGCTGCCCCCTCCTCCCCTGGGGAAGTCAGCCATCTCCTGTCAATCATGGCCAAGCCTCCAGAGCCAAGCTCCAATATATTGGAGCTGTTTCTTGCTCTGATCACCATATTGTACTCTTTATAAGCAAATGTCAGAAATTATCTCATGCCTCAGAAAGTTCTGGCCTTAGCCAACACAGCACAGGTCTGGGTCTCCTTTAGATTCATTTCCCAACTCTGCCCAAGCTTTCCAACTATTGCCATTCTCTCAACGTACTGCTTACACCTAAAGGAATTCTCTGGGATGGTCTCACACCGCCCCCAAGCCCGAAACTTCAATACATTCAAATATTGAAATAACACTGTTAGATGAAACTGATTTTTTAAAGACTATTTCTAAGAATGGAAAAATACATGATGAAATCAGTAACTTTTTAGAGCTATGGACTGAGAAATTGAGATTCCCTGCATTACTTACTAGCTGTATAAACTTAGACAAGAAAATTAGTCTTTCTGAGCCTCGACTTCCCTGAAAATGAAGGTGAACTGAAATCTCAATGGATTGTTCTGAGGATTAATGAATTTATACTTCTTATAAACAACATCACCTACAACTGCATAATAGGTGATCACTAAACATTAGTTTATAATAATTGTGTTCATCATATATGGTACTTAACAGAACATTTCTTTTAACTCCGTTTCCGTCACTCTTACCAGCATGTCAGTTTGGCCTCTGGTTTTCCTAATGAAAGACGCATTCTGAAGAGAGAGAATCTGATTGCAGGAACCAGTGATCAGGAAAGACATCCCCACAAATGTCAGAAATATGACACCTGATTTCGCCTTTCAATCAAACATTGCAAAGGCCATCATGTTACTTAGTAATGGGCCTTCAATTTGCAACGAAGGAGAATACAAAACCAAGCCTGCACATTGAAAAACCAGCACAGACCTTCCTACTTCAGACTGGGTTGCACCCCGTCGATACAATGTAAATTGAAAATATCTTAAATTGAAAAGCAATTAGTATATAGGGAACACAGGTGCTTAGCCTAGCTTACCTTAAAGTGCTCAGCACATTTATGCTAGCCTTTGCTTGGGCAAAATCAACTCACGTAAAATTCTGTTCTAAAACAGAGCAGTGAATAACTCCATAACCTATTGAATAGACCTGGGACTACAGGTTGACTATGGTCTATTGTTAGCCCAGGAGAAGATTAACACCCGAAGGATGATTTCTACTGAATGTATATTGCTTCCATACCAGCCTACGGTCAAAAAATTTTTCAGTCAAGCTGTCCAAGTCAGGGGCCATTTGTACGGTGAAACGATCCTGACACCAACACTGTCAGGGTTACCTCAGTTGGGAACATGTTTACCTGACAAAAACACAGTGACGTGCTCTGCTTTATTTTTCCTCATAAAGTCCCACGGGGATAGGGTGAAGCTTTGACCTACTGACCATGGCACATTTCCTAGTTGAAGAAAAGAAAAGAAAATGTCAAGAGATGTTTAAAAGTCAAATTTCTAATAAGGGGCAATGTGTGAACTCCTCTGTGAGAATCCCATGGAGTCCAGACATTAGACTGTCAAAGAATATGTAAAGGGTCACACCAGGGGTTAACTCTCTAACACAATTTTAGTTGAAGATGAAGAGGAAGGTCTTCAAACTATCAACCTCTCCAAAGCTATCCTTAGAGTGACTGAGAGAATAACCTGAAGGGTGGAAAAAATCCCTAAATATTTCTAGGGTAAGCTTTCCACGAGAGAATCTGATCATAACCTTTCATGGTTCCTCCAATACCTGCTTCATAAAGATCTGAGCACTTTAGATGAGGCCACTGGGCCTTCACAATATGGTTCCTGTCTCCCTTCCCAGCACATGTGTAGATTCCAAAAACTCCAGCTCAGAGTAAAGCTGGCCTTCTCAACCTGGGTCTCTGCTCTCTCTTGTTCAAAAAGGGTCCCGTTTCATAGATGTCTTCTTTAGGGAGGGATTAGTAACAGGTACATGTTTTCATCTCTTTCCCTTCCACAAGTCAGTTCTTAAATACCTAGTCTCACATGCCCCAATCGATGGGCATGTCCCACCCCAAACTCTGCTTATCTGCTGGCCTGAGTTGCTTTAGTTTATCAATACACTAAACTTAACTTACATACAGATATTGATAACAATGATGTTAGAGTTACCAGTTATCAAGCAACCACAGCTGGACTCTAACTCTTTTACCCACAAAACTCAGTGTTTTTTTTGGGTCACAAATGGCACTAGGATGCCCCACATCTCAGTGACAAGCATGAACAATGGCGACATCCGTCTTAGCAGCCACTGCTTGGAGGCACAGTTCTGTGATGGCGGCGGGTACCCTGTGCCTTTGCCAGATTGCAGATGAGCTGAGGAGGGCTGACAGCGCAGAGTCACTTCCTTTAAAACATGGCTGTGCTGACTGTATCAGCTCCCTCAGCAAAAGCACACTTGAGCAACATGCTGCTGTGTGAGTAAAATGGGTTCCTGAGAATCATTTATGACTTATTTCCTCAATGTAATTATCTAATTACATAATTCTTCTGTAATAATTATAGCAATTTTAATGATTTTGCCAAATACCCAGGAAATTAAGTTGCCATGAATAATGTGCTTTGAAAATTAGTGGTAATATATGTTTTGAAGGTGAATTAACATGTGATTGAAGAGAATAAAACACTTTTTGATAGAATAAGGTGATTCATTAATAACAAGGCAAAACCCACCCTCACCCCTCATCCTGGACATTCTTTTTGCAACCTTATGCTGCTAAGAGTACACAGAATTTCCCAGCAGACAGAGGGGGCTTTGACTGCTGACTGCTTTGCTCATTAGCTGTGTGACCTCAGGCAAGTCATCTTGTAACCAGTTCAATTATCTATAAAATGAGCCTGTTCAAGGGGCTCGCTGAGGTCTCATATTTAAAGTGCCAGCAGCAGATTCTTCACAGATGTTAATTCTCCTGGGTTGAGGAAAGGCGCTAACCAAGGACAACATTTATAGTTCCCCGCTATGTTCACCAGAAAGCAACCTTTATCTTTTATAAGATTTCTGATGTCTGTTGCATGGGAGTCTGTCAAACAGATAATCAGTCACCACTGACTCTTCCCATGCTGGAGTCATCCTTTATCACCCGTATAGCTCGAGACTCCATCAGGACTCCGTCCTGGAGGTGAGGTGTTAATGTACCACGGCAACTCTGGCTAAGCTCAGGCATAAATTTGGAGCTGTCTTCAGAACTTGTGCATTCAACAGCTGCAGTGTGGCTATTTCCTTGCATTTACCTAGAATAGCAAGTGCAATCACAAAGCCTCATCAAGGGCTTTCATGTTCTTTACTTTGAGTATTATTTGAGGCACAAAAGCATTTATACACTACCAGACGACATTATAAATGGCTGCACTCTGAATACTCAAGGTTTTTAGCATCAGCAGCTGTCACAGGCGAGCTCTGAATGTGTTTAATCAATGAACTAAGTATCAGGTTATGTAGCCCATAAACATAAACCCAGATAGTTAGTGTTCTCTTTATCACAGAGCTGTTGATACCTAGCGTGATGGATCGCACGCTGCTTGCACTGAGGCCGATGCTGGAGTCAGTGGTGTTATTAAACGTCACGTCTTCCAGACGCCACCATCCATCAGAAGAGATTGCTTGGAAGTGATTTGTCAGAGCTTGACTCACTGCTTTTGAAAAATCATCCCATGATGTCTGTTTGCGGATATTTAAAACGCATATTGTGTTTTCGCATTCAAAGTCATCAGACCCATAATGGCCTGGTTGAATCTCATCCACTGAAATCCTTAAGGGTACTTTAAGAGCATCTGTTGGAAAAATAAAAGTAATAAAAGTTAAAAAAAAAAACTCTAATAGAAAATAACAGCAAAACTCTATTTAAAATAAGTAGACATGGACATTTTGAAAACAAATCAAAGGGAAGCTATCACATTCCCTTAAATAGCATGAAGTGAATGTTCCTATCATGGAGTAAATGTTGGTTTTCAAATGCGTTATGGTTGCATTGCAATCATATTCTTGATAATATGGAACTGTTTCTCTTCCCTTGTATCTTTGACCTTTTCTACTTCATTGACTCCTTGCCTTCAGCGAGGTTCTCAAGTTCTTTAAAAAATCTGAGAAAGCTAGAGCCTTCCTTTGCCCCTGAATTCTCTATCTCTATCACCTTTTTCCCTCGCTTCATAGATAATGATAGGCTATCTGATGAACCAGGCAGGTGACAGCTGTAAAGGTCAGTGCATTTAGGAGTGAGCATGGCTTCTGACTCATAGGCCTTGGTGTGAGCCACGCATCTGCCTTCTACTTGCTGTGTGTACTTGGAAAATCACGTCCATAGCTTTGTATCCCAATTTCTTCTTCCATAAAAGGTGAGGAACATGCATTGAATTGTTATAAAGAGTAAATGAAATAATGTTCAGCATGGATTTGACACACTATCTGTTACAGGGAAGGTAGGGAGGGATTATTTGGTAAATGGTACACAGTTCAGTAGAAATTCTTAAAAGAACTTTCCAATCTCTTTGTGACACCACTGAGGGGTCAGGACCCCATGAACATCTGTTCTCGTGAACTGATTTATATGCTTACCCGAAATCACTTTGCGTATTCCCAAACTCTTCTCTGTCTGCTGAAATCATTACTATAATTAGTAAATTAAGTATTCTATAAATGGATGAACTATGAGTTACTATTCCTATGAAAACCAAATTCAACACTTTAGAGACACTGAACAAAAGAGTTGCTAAAACAGTCATCTAATGAAATATGGATGAGGTGACTACATATAATTAGAAAACATGTAATTATCTCTAGACAGATACTGCCTTTAGTTTGCTTTACAAATATGTTTAAGTCCATAAGCACTAGAAATCATAGGTTAGAGCATTAAAGGTATAGTTTGTTCAAGCTAGAGTAAGTGGAACTATGATCAGCAGAACCATACCACAATAAGGACCTCTACCTGAAAGTTGTTGACATGAATTACCTCATATGTCTTAAATATCCTTTAAGTGACCAGCTACAAATAATTTTATTTTCCAATTGTCAATTCTCAATCACCATGTTATTTACCAATAGACACAACTGATCTCTCTGACACCCTCCTATTGAATTGTGTCCTACCTCATTGGTTATTTTTTAATGTTACTCCTTTGCTGCTCCCTCCACTTTTTCAGTAATTCTTAATGACATAGTGTCTCAAGGTTTGTTTATTTTTTCTATCTGTGTCAACTTCCTTAGTGATCTCATCCAGTCCCATGACTAAAGACTGCTGACTTTCAGGTTTTTATATCCAGTTCATACTCGTGTCTAGCATTCTTGCTGACCAGACAGCTCCACATAGATGCCCTAACAGACATCTCAGATGCATACATCCAAAACAAAACTCCGGATCTTCATTAGCAAAATCTGCTTCATTCATAGCCTTCCCAGATTGATAACTCCATCCACCCAGTTGTTCAGGTTAAATATCGTGGAGTTATCCACGGATCCTGCCCCCTTCACACTATACATTCATTCCATCAGGAAGTTCTGTTGGCTCTACCTTCAGTAATATCCAGAACCCAACCATTTCTCACTTCACCTCTTACAATCGTAAATTGAGCCATTATCATCTCTCACCTATCTATACACTATATTAAATGGGCTCACATGTCTTCCCAATTCTTCTTGTGATTTCTCATTGAAGTAGCCAGTGAGATGGCTAAATGTACACCAGACCCTGTGACTCCTACATTCAATCCCGAAATGGCTACCTTAAGTCCATATAATGGCCGGCAATTCTCAACAAGATCAGACCCCATTACTACCCCATGCTATTACTGCTCTGACTTGTTATCCAACTTCTCTTCTCACTCATTCTAACCCAGTCACTCCACCTCCTTGTAGTTCCTCAGACACCCAGGTATGCTCCTACATTAGGGTTCTATCTACCCAGTGTTCTACCTGGAAAGCTCTTGCCCAAGATATCTATGTAGCTGCCCTTCTCATCTCTTTCAAGTGTTTGCTTAAAGGTTTCATCAGTAAAGCTTCTTTTCACCATTTAAAAAACTGAAATCCATCACCACATCCCAAATCCCTGTCTTCTTCACGGCACATACTACCACCTCATGCACCATTTAATAGATTATGTTTATTATTCATTTTCTGGTTAGACAAGATATAAGGTAAAGTAGAATTACTGATAGTTCTAGCTAACTGAACAGACTGGGAGATAATTTTGATATGAGAGGTCACATTATTTTGTACAATCTAGCACTTTCTATTCATAAACCCACAAATGAACTTTTTATAAAATGTGCTGAGGCGCACATACTCTCAGAGCTGCAAGGGACCCGACAGATCATCACTTATCTTCATAGACAGGTAGGCAATTAGAACTGAGAGAGAACCAGCCTGCCTAGGGACAGACTAAGAGGAAAGTATCCAGCCATGATTTCTCATATTCTGCTAGTCTTATGTCTAGAAGCTCATGTAAATCTAAAGAAAAGAGCAATAATTTCAATATTGTCCAGCATCAGTAAAATACAAGATCTCTTGTCCAGCATCAATTACACTGCGCCCCCAAACACAAAGATCTGTTACTTGGAGAGTAACTGACTATAAAAAGCCAGTCAATATAGAAAATGAAAGAATTACTACATTTATGGTAAGAAATTTTTGGTAATAGCTTCAGTTCCAAAAAGGCTAAGAAGAGAATGAGAAAACCGTAATTGCAGTAATATTTTCCCCATCACCCCAGAGGTCGTAGCACTGTGGCTGAAATTGTCGACAAGCAGGAAGCTGTGCACACACTTACGTAGGTTCTCCAGCAAATGCTTGCAGTCATCAGTCGCCACATCATGAGCAGTCCGATGGCACTTATCTCTTTTCTCCGGCTCCAGCCCTCCGTGCCTACACAAGATTTCTAGGCAGTCCTGTAAAGACAAGAGCTCTGTTAACATGCATCCAAAGGAATACATTTGAGCGAAATACCTAAAGGAAATATCAGTTGCCTATAGCAAGCAAATCAGGAATTCTCAGCTACAAAACTGACTTCAATTTCAACAACCCAAATATCTGGATAAATCTAAACAATATCTTGAAATGAAAAGCAAAGAGTGTTTCATGTGAGTCAGAGATTCAAAACATTGCTCCCAAGAACAGCCTCGTAGACTTCAATAGAAAAAAATATAAGCTTACTAATCACTCAGTTTGCAGAGTGAAATAAAAAAAAATTGAATTCTGCAGACAGTATTCTTTTATGTAATTTGGCAATATAAAGCAAAAAGACTTTTGCTACAACTTGAAGTTTCTTGCTGTCCTCTAGACCATGAACTGCTTTCCTAAGTGCAGGGCTCCAATTTCAACCACCCAGTCCCAGAGTGCTTGTAATCACATTTACAATGGAGATTTATGCTGTCCTTTTTATAATTTGAAAAACATGAACATCACACTGGTTGAGTTTTTAGATAAACATGCCCAATAGATATTGAAGTTCTATTTTTCAGGAAATTTCCATTAAAAAATATCAGTAACCTATTAACTGAAAAATCTCACAAACTTTTCCAATCAAAGTAGCAGTTAGTCAACAAACATGCAAACATTTTCTAATAAATAATGGCACAGCAGAATATTACATGAGGACATTTCCCTAGGAACTCTGCTATAGCAACGTTTAACATGTCATAATTTGTTTACTGATTTTCCACAAGAATAAGCACAAAAATGAATAAACCAGAAACCATGAAAAGCAACAACCAAAGCAAGCAACATCCTTTCATCGTGTGCATGTGCAAAGGCAAACACACACACACACACACACACACACACACACACACACACACCCCCCCCCCCCCCCCCCCCCCCCGTGCGCTTGGGCTGAATTCCACTTCTGACAACACAGTAACCCAGTCAATCTGGAAGCCTTCTCTAACTTTTCTGTACAACACCCTGTTTTCTGGTTTTGTAAAACACACTTTTCCCCTTTTCTATTTAAATATTTGTATCAAAGTATAATAGCCACATATATCAGTACACAAAGAAATAAGCCTCTGCAGTGCCGGTTTGATCCCCAGCTGCTGGGCGGGGGTCCCACATGGCACGCAGACCTCTCCTGCCGCCCGCTTCTCCCCTCAGCAGTGTACTTCAGTCCTTCTGCCTGTTCTGCTCCCCACTCTGGCTCTGGTGAATTCTCTCGCCCTCCCACGAATCTGACTGTGCCCAGTGCTTGTATAAATAAATAAATCAATCTCAAAAAAAAAAAAAAAAAAGAAATGTACAACAACATGAAGGATCACAAGAAAGTGAACAGACTGGACTAAGAACTTTGGAATCCTATGGCTCCACTGCTAACCCATTCTCTTCCACGAGTATCCACTATTCTTTTTAATATCAGAGATGGGTTTAGGCTCTTTGTGAACTTTATATAAATGGAATGATTCTGCAGATACACTTTTGTTTTTGGCTTCTTTCTCTCAACATAGTGTCCATAAGACTGATCCATGTGATGGGAATAGCTATAGCCATTCTTTTTAAAATTACTGTGTAGTAGCCTATGATAGGAATATACCATATTTGACTGATCAAATCAATGTTTGATTTACTTATGTTCTCTTATTATGGACATTTGCGATTTACTACAAACATTCTAGAGTAGGTCTTTTGTTTGGCACGTGTACACATTTTTGTTGGGGTTATGGACCCACATTAGGTTGCTGGGTCCCAGGATATGTATATGTTCTACACCAATCTATACTGCAAAGAGCTTTCAAAAATGATGATGCCAATTTCAACTCCTCCAAGAGTATATGAGAGTTGCTTCAATTGCCCCCAAAACAAGCTGTAAATGTAATCATGAGTTGACAAGTAAGTACAGGCAATCCCTAAGGGTCAAAAAGAAAAACAAAGAGTAAGCTGAAACCACCAATTAAGTGAAATCTGAACAGGAAACCAGTACTGGTTTGAGGGTAAAGTTGATAGACTCATTTTAGATACTGGCGGGATAGGAGACAAGACCTCAGGATCCACAAAATGGTGGCACTAAAACAGAGGACTCCAGAATAAAAAAAAAGTTGGCCTACAAAGGGAACTGACTTGAACATTAGATTCTCACTGTCTGGGCTCAGACTGGAGAGCTCTCCTCCAATGCCTGTGCAACATCTGGCTGCCATGGGTCTCGGGTTCAGATTAAAGAAATCACTAAGCTAATTAACTGTAATTAACTGGAAGCAAAGTCAAATATATAAATCATAGTTTCTATCAAATTCTTATTTATTACTTGTAAATCCATATAAAGCATAAGATAATGACAAGCTCAGAAATGTTGATTGAGAAATTAAATCGAGTAAGAGGATTAAATAGAATGCAATCTGAGCACTAAACTGTGAATTCCCAAGGTTATAGGAGACAAAAATAACATATTTATTATATAAGTTATTATTTGCTAAAAAAAAAAGGGCTAAGGCCTGGATTCTAATCCTGCCAATATAAATGATTTTACCTACAACCTTTGGTAGCCATTTATTTTTTATTTTTTATTTTTTGCTTCAATTTCCTTCCCTGTGTTTCATAGGGTTGTTCTGCAGTTTAAATGAAATGATGCATACAAAGTTCTTATATCCTTGGGACATACTAAACTGTCAATATTTATTAGTGGTTATTATTATCATAACATGGTCATCACCAATTAGATTTTCAAATATTCATTTAACAGTCAGGTGCAGAGCATATTAATACATATCAGCAATTTCAATATAATCAGAAATAATAAATGTGACAGAAATATGCAGGATTCTTTGATATTTCTGACCTTCAGAGTGTATTTTGTCTAATATTTACTGCACTCAGGTAAGTTAGTGGGCAATATAAGTAGTGACTTTCTCTTTAAGGAAACTGAGGAGTTTGGATGTTTCTCTGTAGGGTGGCAACTTGGGAAGCTCTTCTCAAGGTACAAGGCCATGATCAGTCAGGGAAATGCCCTCTCAGCTCTGTTCTGAAAACCAAGTGATGCATTTGGAAGAAATACTGAAAAGGAGAAGGAAGATGGAGGGAGGCCCGTGAGGAGAGAGGCTCTGTGGGGCACCGTATACACCAAGGTAGAAAGGTATGATTTTTTTTTTTCCCAAAGTAGAAAGGGAGAGTGAGGTATGCAAACAAATGGTAAAAAAACAAGCTCTTAAGTGGAGTGTGGAGAAGTACCCTGGGAAAATCTAACCTCTGAAAGTCAAGTTTAAGCTGAGCTGTTTTTGAGGTAGGGCAGGACAGGGAGAAGAGGCCATTTGAGGTAATGGGAAAAATAGGTGCAAAGACAGGGAGAGAAGAGAGCGCACAGGCCATCTGCACAGAAGCCAGAGTGCATGATTAGAGCATGGACTGCATTAGGGGTGGAGACTGGAAGTATGCCTGAGGAGGGAGACGGAGGCCAGATGAGGAAGGGACTTGTCTGACATGATAGAGGTCTGGCATTTATCTTGCAAGTGACAGAGCTTGGAAAGATTTAGATAAACAGACAATTACATGACCAAGGCCCCCTATTAGGATGACCCCTCCGGGGGCAGTTCTAAATAAGACCACTGCAGGGCCCTGCACTAGCCCACACACACAGTTCCTCTAATAAGAAATCTTTTTGCGTAAGAGTTTTAATACCAGAGATGCTCAGATCCAGAAAATCTCCTTAACTGTTTCTGCTGTAAGAACTTAACATGTCAATAGTCACTAAGAAACTTCTATTTATTCATCCTAAATGATAAAAACAAAGGTTTATCTTCAGTGACTAGTTCTCTTTAGAGTGAGTGGTCTCAGGCAGTTTTAGAGAGAAGTATTTATATTACCCAATAATGAGATGATGATTTGCATAAATTGCTTAACCACTGGGGAAAAAAGACTAAGGGACACAGAAAAAGCACTGCTTTAAGAATCTGATCTTTATGAATTGATGTTGGAGAATTAGTTGCTCTGTTTTCCAAGACTCAGTTTTGTCATCTGCAACTGGATGAACTATTGTCCCTTCAAGCTCTGAAACATGCCACTTCTGTACTGAAAGGCAGGTGGAGATGGAAGCAGTTTTCTTTGGTAATGATGGCACTACCACTCTCTGGAGATTGGACAGATACATGCTACTGCAGAGAGGAAAAAGTTGTCTTTTAACTTCCACTTGAGGTGAGTGAGTGTAGAGTCTTTTCTCCACACAATGATTATCTCAGCATTGTAATTAATTTTTCAGAAAACTGAGCTTTGCAACTTAGTTATAAGTGGACTGCCTTTCTGGAGAATTGTTTCAGTCAGGTTCTAACATTGCATTGGGTAAATGATGCAAAAATATTTTCCAATACCTTTGACAAGGAAGGGAGGAAGGCAACATGATAAAGCACAAAGAGTAATGGAATCAGGCAATCTGGGCTTCATTCCCAACGTCTATCTATTAATTCCCTCCAGAGTTTAAATGTCCTAATCATAAAATGAAGAGGTTAGGCTGCAAGATTAAGTATCCACTCCAGGGCTAAAAAAAAAAAAATCTATTATTTTAATCTATTATTTTACTGAGCAGTGCGTGGATGTTGTCAATCATGCTCACTTTAAAATATTTCTCTTGTTGAAAATTCATTATGCTTAATGTAAGAAAATTCAGAGTCACACTACATGCCAATAAAGGTCAGATTTCCCTTTACTCAGTAATGACAGAGAATCCATGTTTTCCAGGACTCTGGGAATCAACAATGATACCATCCTGGATTATAGAAAGCACCAAGACTAATAGAGTTTATAATCATGGAGCTGAGCAGCAACATAAGGGCTTTAAAGCACAGGGCAACTCGCCCTGGGAAGCAGTTTCCTTTCTCCGCCTGGCACGGAAAGTTCGGCAGCTGAACACTGAATCAGTGATGCCCAGGTTTTTCTTTTCCTGTTCCCCCCAATCTCCCTGTCCCCAGGCTGAGCTCATGTATGACCCACTCTATCCTGTATCCTACGAGATTTCTCTTAGGGGGGTGGAAGCAGTCACAAACCATCCCACCCCACCATCAAGTGAGATTTACTAGCTTAGATTAATTCTACATTTTCATATTTAAGCATTCACATTTCCCATCTTTGCCTCCAAAGAACATTTAGGTCAAAAGCTAATGCATTCCATTCCAATCAACACATAGATTTTTAGTTTACACAATTTTTGTAGGTTATTTTTTTGTTCAAAGTTAAAACGAGAGAAAAACTAACACACAATACCTCCATATTGAACCGAATCATGCTTTTTTTTCTCACTTTCTTTTTAAACCAAACTCCGAAATGAACAGCTTCTGCTCTAGATCACAATAACAGGAAGTTACTCAACCAGGAGTTGTGAATGCACATTCCAAGCTATTCCCAGATAGCTCCATCTGGATGAACATATCACAGCACTTCAGCCCAGCACACCTAAACCCATACCCAGCTTCTCAGGCACAATGAGCCTCTTCTTTTCTCTTTCTGGGAATAGCACTAGTGTCCTTCTATCCCGTGTCCTCATTTCCCATATCTAATCTGTCTTCTAGCCTGGATTTTTCTGGTCTGTGATAGCTGTCATTATCTTCACCACTCTTACCATCTTTACCTCGTCTCTCTCCTGGCCATGCCTTTCTTTGTAATCCCAAATCTGTGTTATTGCAAATTCATCAGTTTAGACTATAGAGCGGATTATTTTGCCACTTCGTGCAAAATTCCTTTCACAACTTTACTGACTAGTGAATGAAACCCTAACTTAGTATGTCACTGAAGGCCCAGACTACTGCTTCTCACACTGTTAGCCCAATGGGAGCTGTGACCCACCTCCCGCTTCCAGTCTCTCTTCCCACTGCTGTCGTCGTTGAGCTACTCTCTCTCCCAGTGATGACTGGCAAGTTTAACACACTCTGCTGCAAGGTCCCAAATCTCGTCGCCTCCAGAACGAGCCATTTCTGAGCCCACCATTCTAGCAACTCTGCTCTTTTCATGCCTCAAAAATAAAAAGTTGCATTTTATACTGGTGCCACCATATGTTTATCCTTGTTTTAATTTTTGTGCTTATCTTAGCCTATCCTTGTCCTGATCCTGTACTGCTGACACTGTGTCCTGATCCTGTACTGCTGACACTGCTGACACTATGGCATAAACAATCCTTGTGAATGTCGGCAAACACAGTGTCTTGCACTCAAGAGCACTCTAATAGCCTGGCCTGCTATTACTAAAGCATAATATTGTAAAAGTGCTTTAAATGGAAAGAGCAACATGAGTGAATGGCCTACTATATTAGGATATTTTCTTAATAATCAGAATCTTTTCCTACTCTGACTGGTGAGTGAAATATAGTGCTCCCTCATGTAATAGTAAGATAGCCTAAGTGAAGGCCTGCATTGGATCCTGGCCCTCCTTCTCACGAGTAGCATGGTCTTGATACAAACTCAATAATCCGGTGAACAAAATCACTATCAAACCTTTCTTTATTTGGGATAAAATAAAAGTGCTCAATCATGAATCATGCTCACTCACACATCTGTTAACAAACTGCAAATACAATTTTGATGAAAAGTCTTATGTACTTGCCATAACTATCTGCTGGATAGAATAAAGTCAGTTTATATTGGTCACTAATCATCTTATTCAGCTAAGTGCACACGTCAATAGTGCACGCCTTTGCCTCTCAATGCATAACAACTGTGTAATGATGCTAGCGGCTACCACACACCTTAAAGCCTTTTGAAGCAGCAATGTGGGCAGCAGTCCAGCCCTCTCTATTGGCGTGGTTAATGAGGTCTGCGGGAATGACAGGCTCAGACGTGATTTCAGAACTCTCTTCTTGATCCAAGTCAAAGACGCCTGGCTCGAGTTCCCCTGCATTCAAAGGGTTTGCACGAGCTGGTGCTCTATGGTATAGAAGAAGCTTGAGACTCTCCACATTGCCAGTGTCCACAGCTGCATGAACTGGTGTCCAGCCATCCTGAAAATAAAATCCAGGGAGAAAGGGTTGAGAACAGTGTAATTTAAAGTTCTTGAGAGGCCTGCCTGGTGGCCTAGGGATTAAGTCTCAGGGCTACCACAACAGCAGCATGAATTCCATCCCTGGCCAGGGAGCTGATCCACATGGCGCAGCAGACCTCTCCTGTCTCACCCACTGCTCCCCTCAGCAGTGTATTTCAATAGATCTGCCTGCTCTGCTTCCCACTCTGTCTCTAGTGAATCCTCTCGCCCCCCACACCTCTGTCCTACACCCCAGTTCTCCTACTCAAAAATAAATCATTTAAAAAAATTTCTCTTCAAAAATGTTCTTGGGCATGGACCACTGAGCTGGGAACAGCAGGCACTCCATCCTGGAGATCACTCAGGAGCTATGCCAAGTGATCTGAGCTCTGTCAGTCATTGCATTTCCTACTCCCATGACTCATGTTTGCTGGTGTGTAGGAATTCCCACCTGACAATTAACCATTCGGTGTGAGCAGGTATGGTAAGTGAAATCCTCTATATTACCAGAGAGAATTTTAGCCTGAGGAGAGCTTTTAAGATGTATATTCGAGTGTATTGTTATTAGTGCAGTACTAAATGAAAGCTATTATATGCCAGTTTTACTTAGAGGATGGAGTCCTGACTCTAATGATCCTAAAATTTTATGCCACTGGTTTCAGAAGAGCAGAGTCTCGATAATAGTAAAAAGGCAGACATATAGGGGGAAAAGCATCAAATAACTTCATAGGGATGTCTATGGGGCTCTTTGGGTGTTCCATGGTTGCAGTAGGATATGAATAAATGCAAGCTTAGGAAATGCTCCAACTATCATCACCGGGCCCGCTTTCTAGGTTGTATCCCTTTGATGCCTCCATCAACCTGGTAGGTGCGGCAGACTCAGAACTCTCCTCTATGGCAGTGGGTCTCAGGAGTGGTCACCTAAGTGAGCAGTGTCAGAGTCACCAGGAACTTGTTAGATATGCAAATTGGGGTGATTATCACCCCAGACTTACTGAATCAGCAACTCTAGGGGTAAAACCCTCCGAAACTGTGTGTTAACTAGCCTAAGTGATTCTGATGCACTAAAGTTTGATAAGTGCTATACTAGGAAAATCTTATTCCCCCTCTTTTTTATATAGAAACGGGTCTGCCTTCTTCTACTCAGGCACTAGTCATCACAGGATTTTTATGATTTTCATCCAAAAAAAAAAAAACCCCTAGGCGTTGTTTTGGTGATTTGCATTTGGCTCTAGTTTATTTTTCTACCTTTATTCTACTTTGGCCTATTTTTCCATATTGCTATACTAAAAATATTTCAGAGAGCTATAGCACACTTTTAAAGAAAATAATAGGAAGAAAAGAGGGAGAAAAACAGACAGTAAGTGGTAGCAGTCTACAGTTTTGACTGAGTCATCAGATCATTTGCTAAAGCTGTCCTGACAGATGGCTTTTTTTCCTGGCTCTATATCCTATACTAATGAAGTCGACCTGGCTTAGACCAGACCACAGAGCTGGGTAGTAACCAGAATACCGTTTGGTTCTAGGGTGAGCTCAGCTAGGTGAAGCATTTCATGGCTGGTTCTCTATTGGCCTGGAGAGATCTTTACTTGGCTGGATATCAGCCTTACTCAGGTATCAAAGGTCTAAGAGCTTTTGTCCTTCTCTAAATTACACTACAAAAGCCACCTAGGAGTTCCTGGAAAACTTTATTATAATTTTTCATTGAGGTAACACTGCTTTAGAACACAATATGCATTTTAGGTATACATCATTAAAGATCAACATCCATAAATACTACATTAAGTTTAGCACTAAAAGTCCAATTCTAACCTTCCCCATATAATTGACTCCTTTTACCAATTTACCCACTATCCTCTCCCCACCTTGTCTTTTGGCTATAGTCTGACTATAGTCTTAATGTCTAAAAGCTTATTTTTGTCTTATTTAGGTAATATGTTTTATTCCTCTGTATCAATCATCCATCCTCCTTTGATTTCTTATTGAAAAATCACAAGAAATAATTATTCCCTGGAGATCCTCTATCAATTACGCTGTTTATCTCTACTTTGGAGTCTCTTATGTTTTTAAAAATTTTGGTCAGCTCATTATCAACTAGTTTGAGTCATGGATGTTCTCTAATGAATTAGATGTGATTTATATTTTTATGTTTCACCAGTTATTTTTCATTCAGGTTAATGATATAAAATTCATTTTTCATATGTAAGGTTGAAGTATATAACAAACATATTTCTTAGATGAAACATAAAATAACATGAAATGTAATGGTGAATTATTTTTTAGATTGAAAAAATAAACAGAAAAGACTTTTCCCCAAAAAGCTCTAGCAACAGAATTCAATGGAAAATGTTTGCACTTAGCTTATATAATGCCATGTAGTACCACAAATTATTGGTTCTCTTTGGGGAATTATTTAAGAAAAACAGGATCTAAAAGTAATCTGCAAAATACATAATGTATCTTTTTTATCCTAGAAAAATTTTAAGGCTGTCTTCTGTGAAATGCATATACAATAAGGCTAATTATCTACTAATAGAAGAGATCCTAGCTACAATAATCTTTGGAAATTAAAAAAGGGGGCCTCCCTGGTGGCGCAAGGGGTAAAGCACCGCACTATGAAGCAATCCACAGCCTCTGCAACATGAGTTTGATCCCCAGCCGGCCGGGGAGCAACCCACATGGTGAGGCAGACCTCCCCTGTCTCGCCCGCTGCTCCCCTCAGCAGTATATTTCAGTCAGTCTGCCTGTTCTGCTCCCCACTCTGTCTCCGGTGAATCCTCTAGCCCCCTGCATCTCTGGCCTGTACCCCAGCTCTTCTATGCATAAATAAATAAATCTTTAAAAATAAATAAATAGTCTATACTTGTTTTTCATCAGGAATACGTTTTGGAGGGTGGTGGTTGTTACACCTTTAACATTCTGGGAAGCTGCAGTTACAAAAATCAAATGAAGTCTGAGTCCAGTGAAGGGTAGATCAGGGTGGAAGCTCCTTAATTCCTCCCGCTGTCACTTGGGCCCTTGTGAGAGATAAGCATGTCAGTGTGTCTGTGAGTGTGTCACAACACAGTGAGAAAAACCAGTTTTGGAAGGCTTATTGAGAAGTGTTATTCTGATGCATTTGTGTGTGGCTGAACCGGATGTATTACCCCAGGTCTCTTCTGTGTATCAGATTCTAAATTCCTTCAGTTCCTAAATCTCTGACTTCACCTGTGCACTTTATACAGGAGACGTTACAACCGCGTGGTGCGATATCAACAGTTGCATCAACACGTCAGGCTTCACTGTGGACTTCTACATACAATGTTTCAAGTTCTGAGGCAAATTAGGCAGAGATCCCAGATTGTGAGGTGCTGTACAATGTTAGCGATAACAAGCCCCAGTCCTAACTGAAACAGAAAGCACAACTAACTCCCCTCTAAGTGCCAGCAATGGGCACCAAACTTGGTTTTGTTCACATATAACACAGCTCAGAACTAGTACCGGTGGTGGCAGTGATGATGACAAAGCCCACGGTCACAGCTAATGTTTATGGTCTGCTTACAGTTATCACAGGCACTATGCCAACTACTCACAGAGATTAGCTCATTTCATTTTAATACCCCTGAAAGTGCTGTTATACTACTGGCCTCATTTGTAGAGATGCCCACAAATGCACAGAAAAGTAATATTACTTGCCCAAGGTCCACAAAGTTTTGTAGAGGCAAGGTTCAGGCCCACCAGGTTTGATTTCAGAATTTGATTTCTCAACCATGAGATACTTTTCTATCATCCCATGACTACCTCTGTCATAGTTTATCCTATAGTTTTTAAAAGGATATAATGCACTTCGAAAGTATGTCCAAAATTACTCCATTTCCCACCATTTCCACCCCTCAACCTTGCTCCAAGCCACCCTTTACTTCTCCACTGGGTTAAACAGACTCCTGACAGGCTTCCTTGAATCTGCTCTGCCCCATAGTTTATTCTCAGCTCTGCAGCTAAGTGATTCTCTTGAAAATGAGTCAGTTCAGGTTCTTGCTCTGTTCAAAACCATCTAAGAGCAACCCACCTTGGTGGCCCTCCCCAAGGCTCTTTGTGGCTGGCCTCTGCTACCCTCACCTCCAGGGGATAGGCTGAGGGTGCCACCAACCTCCCAGTTCAGAACTTTGCTCTCACTGTTCTTCAGGCCTGGCACTCTGCCACCCTCGTCTCTTTATGGCCCATGTCCTCACTTCCTTCAGGGCTTGGCTCAACAGCCACATTTTCCCTAAAGACCTTTCTGTAACTCCTCTAAAGTTACCCTCTCTTCCCAGTACTCTCATTTCCCCAAATCCATTTATTCACAGATTTGTTTAGTGCTCCACGTCCATAAGGGAAGCAAGAGCCATGAGGGCAGGGGCTGTTTGATTGCTGCTGTCTCTCCTGTCCCTACTATAGCTGATGCTCAGCTAGTATTTGCTGAATGTACACAAACCTCCACCTTCACTATGTCTCCTGGTTCTGAAAATAGTCAGGACACAGGTGTTCATTTCCTGTTTTATAGCTAAATCATCTGAGTTCGAAGGATAAGGGCTGGTTAAGTTAATAGAGAAGGCTTTTAATCATCAGATTCAAACAGATTGTCCATACTTGATACCCTAAAACCAAACCAACTGCTGTTTCAATATATTTTGCTTTTTTACAAGTTTGCAGACACAATGTAAATTATGGGATTACCCATAAACTGATACTCACTCTGGTTTTTACACTTCGGTCAGTTCCAGATTCTAGCAAGATTTTAATGCATTCTTTATTTCCATTTTTACAGGCCAGGTATAGAGGTGTCTGTCCTCCATCAGCAGCATGATTAATGTTAGCGTCAAATGCAATTAATAATTCTACACACCTAAAAACAAAATTATGATTAATTACTAAGACCTGGCTATGATTTCTTAAGTACCAACTGACCAAGATATTAAATACAGAATACAATGCCAAAACAATCCCATATCTTGATATACATTAGTTATTTTATTTACATATATGTAAAAATGTGTGTGTGTGTGTGAAAATATAGAACAGCAAATTTGATCAAGTGCTAAAACCTGGCTTATAACACTTTTCTTAACCACCTTGGAAAAGTGAAGTCCTTGGAATATTTTTAACCTTTTAGGATGAACGGTTTAATTGTACTTGACATATATATTATTTGTGATTCAAAATAGTTTGAACCCTGAAAAAGAGTCAGGCTGCTGAGTCATTGAGCTTTTCACTTGAAAAAATAATTATAAATAGTGCAGACAGCAGGGCACCATGTGCCTCTATTATAAAAGGCAGAAGGGGGGCAGAACAGAGCTGCCTTGGGGAGAAAAGACTACAAGGCGTCCTAGCTCCTGAAATGGGCTAGTTGAGGGGGGAAAGACACAGCTAAGCAGAAACTCATTGCCTTGAGAATCAAGAAGGGAAAAAAGGGGATAAATCGAAGATTTCTGGCCACTTACTAACTAGCTAATCACCTAGAGATTAAGTTTGAATGATTAAACAAGCATAAACTTATTTTAAAAGGGCTAAATCATAATAAATTAAGTAGCAATTCCTATCATCTTTGTTCTTTGACTCAGATGCATTTTTTTCCTTGGCTTTCCTTGGCAACATTTGATTTGTTTCCATACATTTTAAAAATAATTTACATACTGATGTGTATTTCACATATATTTAAATTAATCAAGTCCCTGGTGTCCTTCCTTATGTAGAACTCTCCAGGACTCCATTCCCAGGACTGTTAGTAGCCAAACAAGTGTCCCAGTGACAGTAAAGACAAAAGCAGAGCTCACAAGAAGAAATCCATTCTGGAGGACTCAGGATAAGGGCAAAGAGTAACAGCAAAATCAGTCTCTCTGGTCCTCAAAAACAAACTGAGAGTGATGAAATATGCATTAGACAAGCAGGAAAAAAAATAACACTATGCTTTCAGAATGTATTTTAAATTAAAAAAATTAGTGTGAATCTAAAAACCGATATTGTAAGGACCTGAATTTTAAATAACATTTCTATCAAGATAGTAAGTTGAAAATAGTGTGTATTCCCCCACAACCAGCTATTTTAGCACACAGGGAGCAAGTTATCTCTGTTGTAAAATGACTCAATTTTTAAAGTCATGCTTCTGTTCAACTAAGTCACTGATGAAATCATTGCTAAAGCTATATATTTTTAACTAATTGACTTTGCTATATGTGTATATAAAGTTACTGATTTAGTTTTTTCTTTAATGATAAATCAAGGTGGGATTTAATAATCAATAAATTGCTACTAAGATTATTACCAATAACTTATGTTTCACTTTTACTGCCACTTTAAATAAAAAGGTTTCACTAAAATTGAAAACTACTTTAAACAGGTGAATTATATCTCAATAAAATTATTATTTTAAAGGTAAAAATAAATAAATAAATAAAAAGGTTTCTGTGTGTGTTGGAATGGTGGAAAATAGAAAACACCAGTCTTTAATAGTCCATTACATTACCATACATACTTTGATATATTATGAAATAGACTGTCTTCTAAGAAAGAAATTCACTTTGCATTTAAATCCCCAAATATGTTTCATTAAACCGAATTGCCAATGGATTATAAGTACTACTTTACACATTCAGCCAGAGCAAAAATGTGTGCAAACTATAAAGAGGCTTTTTTAAAAATAGGGAATTTAAAAAAAAGGATTAAAAACAGTGCTTACTTGAAATGTCCCTGAGCAGCTGCAGCACACAAGGGCGTGAAGCCATTTTTATCAGCAGCATTGACTTGGGCTTCTGCGTTCAGCAGCAATCTCACACAGTCTGTGGATTTTAATAGACAGCCATTTAAATTCCCCACTTAGAGTTATGATGAGCAAATCCTATACAAGTTGGAGAGAGAGGCTAACCCCAAAGGACCACTCCCAACCCGTTCAGTTCATAGCTCTATCACAACTGATGTGAAATTCCACAGGCTGTTTTATATGCAAAGAGCCTCTTTTCCCCAGGACTTGGAATACCCCAGACTTACCGACAAACACTTGTTTTTTTTTTTTTCTCTTTGGTCTATTGAGAAGAGTGGCTGATAAGTGAAGGATTGTCATGAGTCAAAAAAATGCTTTACCAGATTTTCCCACCAATAACATCCAATCATGTGATTGGATGGAGAACCAAATTCAATGGCATTCTTTGCATTTAAATAAATTTTTACTTTGTAATGTTCTATTTAATCTTTAATATGCTTTCTTGTGATCAAACTAATTCCAAGAATGCGAAGAATCCATAGTAATTTATGACTGTGACATATAAATATCACTTAGACCTCGTTTCTCATTTTATTTACTAGATTCAATTTCTCTGCATTAAAGAATATTACTATAGTGTTTTTAAAACAAAGAATTCCAAAAAAACTTTTAAAATAATATGCTATCTCCTTAGCTTACCAGATATTCTATTTAGTTCACTCAAACACAATGAAGTTCTGAAAACTTCCAGTGAAGCCATTTTGAATTTGAATAAATTTGAATAAATCAACAATCACAAAACTTACTTATGCAGTCTTACTTGACTTTGCCTTTGCAGTCAAATCATACTTTTTTTTTGCAATACCATATGTTTAGTATATTTGACTACAGGATTTGCATTTTAAGGAACAAGAATAATTCCTATCTCTCATCAATAAGTCTTTTATAGCTGTTTGTCTCGTTTCTCTTAAAAAAAAAAAGGTAACTATAAATTGTTCCACATACAAAACAACTTTAGACCCATAACCTTTCCTAAATACAAAAACTTTTCCTCACTGAAACAAATGGTTTGACTTTAGACACATCAGTAATCTCTAACAGACAAATTAGGGCTACTTTGTCCTGACCAAAGTGATCACAGATGGAGGACTGTTTTCTAAAGCACGCTTTATAGTTACTAGACCTAAATTTTCTACAGACATAATTACATTTCCTTGTGCATAAAACATACACTACTTCTTACTGGCTGCAGTGAAATTTTACATTACTACACCACCATACAAGTTTGAATTTTTTTTTAATGCTCACAAAAATCTATTAAATCTCATGGGGGGAAAAATGTCCATTACTATATATGAAAGGAAATTGAAACCAAATGAATCTTTTGCTCATAACAATGGTCTCAAGTGCCTTTGACTCTCCATCCTTTGGCAAGCAGATATAGAATGAAGTCAGTTTCCATCCTCTTTACCTGTATGTCCATTCTTAGCAGCAGAATACAAGGCAGAATGGCCATCTTCACAGGAGTAATTAATGTCCAGTCCTTCTTCATTAAGCAGCATTGATAATAAAGTGACATTTCCCTGGGCAGCAGCTTGCTGAAGAAGGGTGGGCCTGCCAGCCAGGGGGGCAGGACCACCACTCATTAGCAAAGGGGTTAGGGAGGGTGACCAGCCTGTGGGTTAAAGTGACCCTAGTTAGATAGGAGCAAGGAGAAAAGACAGATTACCTACTCCTTTCTGAATTACACACACAGAGACACATGAACACGTATCCTTAGAGGATTATGTGGTTGCTAACATTATCAATCGTTAATATTTACTTAACACAAATCTCTATTGTTATGTCAGATCTTTTATCTGCTACCAATTTAATTAACATACATAGTGACAAATTATTTTTAGTTGTCAGTCTTACACAGATAAGGGTTAAAGTGGAGATTGGCTTTAAGGAAACTAAGATGGCAGTCTCATTTCAAAAGTCCAATTTCCTCAAGATTGTAAAACAATTTGAATTTTAAAATTATGTATAGGACTCAATTAATTTCCATATCAATCTGGAAAGCTACACAAATAACTGCAGGTATAAGACAGAAATTGTTTTAAGAAATCTCCCCCTTTTAAGCTTTCCAAGGTACATATTTCACATAAACCATTAAGAAGGACCAAATACTGTCAAGGAATCCATTTACATTCCTTGAATTCTCTTACTTGGGAATAGAAATAAAGCAGGGAGAGAAAATCACTAATCAGTCTCAAGAGCTCACAGAAGTTCAACAGACAGTTGGATTAGAATATACTAGCACAAATATTCACTGCAAAATTTTGAAGACTTTATCATCTGGCCATCTTTACAACATGTGTACCAGAAACTTAATCAGTCAATAAAACGGGACACTCTACCATATGGTTTTAACAAAAATCATAAAAGTTATTATAGTTAGATATTTCTCATCAGTATTTAGCAGCTTTAGAAGAGAATCTGTTAAGTATGTGAAGTCGACTGCAAATAGCATGGAAAATTTTCTGAATTCTTCCTTGATCAAAAGGCTGTAAAAACAGTAAAGTAAAAATGTTTATTTAATGTGATTATATATTTTGTGTATTATGCTTATATACAATTAACTTTCTAAATAAGTCATTTACTTTCCTCCTTATGGAGACCCAAATACCATAAAGTAATGCTGGTGTGCCTATGGGGAGTACAGGTGTACATTCTCACTCTTTGGGGTAACTTTCTACCTGTATCAGCATTCTCTCCAGCAAGACCCAATAGATTGATCTTTTATACTTCCTGCACACTGATATCAGTATAAAATTCTAAATATATATATATATATATATATGGGTGTCATATTAATATGTAAAAAATTCTTATAAGTGAATCTTAAATTATTGACCTTTATTTTAATAAATATTAAAAAGGTCTGTATCAAAGGATTTCTCAGCATTTTAACCATTCTTTAAAAAGAGGCCCCAAAATGTATAAAATTAGACTTCTTATTAAAAGCTGGATAGTACATATTTTCTTAATTATTTGGGTCCATGGATAATTTAGTGTTTTTACCCTATAAGACTGCAATGACAGAAAATTCAAATGCTTATACAATTAAATATTTATCTAAGGTCTGTATTTCCCACTGATATTTATTAGCTCTTCTTACAAAAAGAGTATTTTTACTTCATACTTACAAGAAGGCTCCTCTCTGGTACATTTTACCTTTTGTATTTTCTTAAAAACAAACAAAAAAAAAACAAGCCCACAAAAATTAAATCAGTACTTATTAGAAATGGATGATAAACAGAGAAATTATAAACACCAAGGTTTAAACCTTGACTGCAAAGCAAACACAAAGGCAATGTGAAGGCATCGCACTGGTCCTCTGTGGAATAGGAAGGAATCTGGCTCAAGCAAGGTGGTGTCTGCCTGTCTGTCTCTCTCTTCCACTCTCCCACCAATTCCCTCTACAGCAACCCAGCCCTCTGGCTACACTCATTTCCCCCACCTCCCTCTATCTCATCCAAAGAGTCTTGGTTATTGATATCCATTAAAGAATATCAACAAGTATCTATTAAACTGTTTGCTATTCTTTGGGGATGTGTTATCATATTTATTTCTTCACTATAATTCTAGGCCTTACACACACTATAATTCTAGGCACTTTAATTCTAGGCCTTCTAATTGCCTTATATGGAAATACTCAGTTATGGATATTTTTGGAAAACCCTACGTTAAAGCTAACCTATCTGCAAGATAAAATATTTTCTTCAAATCATTTTGCACTCTTTAGACTCCTCAAGAGTCTCAGAGTTCACAGTTAAGCAACGTTACAGCAGAATGTATTTATTTTCTTAAAGGATTGCAGTGTGATTTTAAAAATTTAAGAATTTAAAAATTTATTTTACAAAATATTCTTTAAGTATAATATCTCTGCTATCACTTCCAATTTTCTCTAGCACATACAAGCTTAAGTTCTTTCAATAAGTCCTGCTGTAAGTATGGGAAAATATAACTTCACTGTGAAACTACTGCTCATTTGAAATTCCTGACAATGATAACATTGGTAATATTTCGTTAACTGGTTAAGTAATGACAGAACAGACCTGATGTCATACATGTTAGAAAACGACCATTCGGCTTCGGAGTGACGTATGCAATCGTTAGTCAAGGTGAGCATCTCCAGAGCATGCAGTGAGGAAGGGAGCAGACAGGGCGTGCAAAGGCAGACGGGAAAGGAGCTGAGAACAGCTTCTGGCATCAGCTTCAGAGTGTGGAGCAGGTTAATGTTATAGCTTAGATCATCTCATTTTCTGATTTAGCCTTCAATCCAATTATATATGGATGTTCATTTTCAAAATATTTATTTAAGGGAAAAAGTCTGAACCAAATTACATAAACTCCATTAAAAAAAAAAAAAAAAACAGAAAAAAAAAAAGTTCCAAGGGTATGGAAACTCAGTTGCTTGCGTGATTTCTGATTTAGGTTTCTGTTCATCTAACTGTTAAAATGTGTTTATCTGACCAGTTCAGGGGAAACAAGAAATTCTCATTCACTTGGAATTTAAAATGTTATTTAAAATGAACATTTGGCCATAAAAGTTGCTTAAAAAGCTAGGGTAATTATAACACCATTCATTAAAATGGTATCTCTGATCATTCCAATTTTCCCTGGTGCTTTAATTATAATTGTATGTCAGGTATCAGCTGACACAGAAACAAAGTTTAAAAGATCATGGAATCTAGAGGCTCTCCAAGGAGAGAGAGGTAGTAATCTGTTTTAAAATCCAAAAGCCAAGTTTAACAAATCTTTTTACTTTGGAACTAATAATTTTTTTTTTTTTTGGTTTGTTGATTTCATTTTGAGATGGGAAATTAATAGCTCAGAGAATTTGCTGTTCAAGGTGACACTAGCAAAGGCCAGAAATGGACTACCCTTGCCTTTTTATATCCAATCCAGTGCTCTTTACATCACCGAAATTGTAACAGATGTCTTAACAGGTAGGAGGCCGATGTGCTCTGTCCCTATGCACTGCTCTTACCAACCACAATGGCATTAGTGGCTATTTAGAAGATTAATACCCTTCAATGAGCTTATGATCTGGAGAGGCACAAACTTACCCAGGCACAGATAGGTTAAGAAGCAGAATGAAGAGAGTGCTGGTGCACCCTAGTTGCAAAGGATATGAGGTAAAAGTAAGGCAATTTATATGGAAAACAAGAGTTGAAATCCTGCATCTTCTTTGGAAAGTTTAGGCTGACCTACCCCCCCAGTTGAGTTACATACCTCCATCATGTAACTGTAATAACAGATTGATTCCCCAAACAGACTAGATCCTCAGTAAACGGTTGCTGAATGACTGACAACTTGCCCTGCCTTAATTTCCTCTAATAAGCCACATCTTATAATCACAACACAATCCCTCCAGAGGCAGTCTTGTAGTTCTGGGGATCAGACTAGAAAATGAGGAACCAGTTTCATGGATAGTCAGGGGCTACTTCTTTGGCCTCACTATTTATACCCTTTTGCTCTCTGGACATTAGCATACGGTATTTTTCAGAAGGCTTATAGCTCCTTTATTCAATATTCTACTGTATCCTAGGCAGGACAGTCTGGTGAATATATAATGGACTATGAAATCTGTCTTTAAAGGTTAACTTACAATCTTGCTGGCAAAAATGTTTCTCAGTCATGGATAGTAGTTTCAAAGCTTTTCCACAGAAACCAAAGGGTATTAGCAGTTGAACCCCGGACAATAGTAATTATCAATGTAACAACTGGCAAAGCATGAAGGAATCAAATCAAAGATGGTCTGGTATTTTTGAAAAACTGAAAAAATTTATATATCATGGGAAGGGTTTTCTGCTTTATAATCCATGCATTTATGTCAACAGCACTGACACTGCTCCTATTTATTTATTTATTTTTTGGGACTTGTGCTGTGAGACTGTTTTAAGACCTTACAGCACATTCTCTGGTTCTCCTGAATGGTGGCAACCCCCCCACCCCCATCCCTTTGAGAGAGAACTGAATTCACAGGAAACAGCCAACACCATTTTAGGCTGTGAGAAGGGCTGTCCCGTTCAGGAAAAACTATGGGATGAAAACTTTGGGATAAAAACTATGGAATGCTGAATGCTGTAAAGATATCACAAAATAATACTAACCTCAGTTCTCAAGGGAAATGTTCAACATTACACAAATTCATCAACAAGATTTCTAAACAAAAATTTCAACACTCCTGAAGCGGTAAGATCACCTTTATGTATTCATCAGTCACGCGATCCTAAGTGCAACACCAAGCTCCTTTCACATATTAGGATACTCAATTCTACCCGCCACCCTTTCCCACTTAAGGCCACAAGCTCCATATTAAAAGAGAAAACTTGCTCAAGAAAAATCAGCAAAAATTTTCAGCTGTAAATGAAGACCCAACACAGACCTTACTGACATCCATGACCCTGCTGTTTCCCCTTCCCTATTTTGCCCTCAAAATATGAACCTAGACTCTCAAGCAGCTTAATTTCAAGAAGACAGCATATAATTACTACATAAGTCCTAGTGTGCTGCTCTCATTACCTGATAATTAGCAAGCACACTACCACCTGTTTTTCTCCCCAACTAAGTTTTAAATAGCACTGGCCTGAAAGCTTTAATTCAAGTTTCTTTGCACTGGTACCAATAGTCTGTGCTCTCCACTAAGATTTCATGATCAGAGAGACTCCTCCCAGGTTTCAGCAGAACTTTGAGACTGTTATGTTACATTAGAACCACATTTACTCCGCGATGACCAATCCAGTTGGGTCAATAAGCATCACCCTCTCGTCTAGTACCTCAGAACAAAGGGAGAAAGTCCAATTCCTTGTGGACCTCTTTGTTCAAGAGCCCCAGATTAAGCAACTTCATAAATAATATCTGCAATGGAAACCTTTTCTCATATACCCTATGTGTTCCGCTCCCCACCTCTACTCCAAGTTGGAAGACAGCAACTTGATCAGAGGAAAGCTTTTGAAATAAACTAAAGCTAGAACTAATGTTTATAAATAGACAAGTTAAAACACAACAGCAAACTCATATTAAAGCTTAGACTATCTCCATTTCAGAACATCTGATCAATTTGCTCATCCAAGGAAGACAGTGGTGTTCATGCTACATGAACGCATCCTTTAAACTGTCATCTCAGAAGAGACAGAACACATACTGTCTGTCCGGTGATGCCGTGCTAATATGGAAGTCTTGTGAGATAAATATTTAATAGAAAGGGGTAATCTTTCCTCCCATGGAAATGCTTTATTCTCTCTAAATTAATGTCTCCATGTGCTCCAAACCACTACTTTCAGATTATTTTGAAAGAAGAAAGCACTTAGCATAATGAAACCACAATTCATTTAGCAAGATGAATCACCATACCCCGGAGCCTTCAAAGAAAAATTTAAAAAAAAAAAAAAAAAAAGAGGAAAGAAATAAGGGGAAAAAGTATCAAATGAAAAAAAAAAAAGTTTCAAGGCAATGTGAAGGAAATTAAGGCAAAAGTGAGAGGACAGACCACATTCTTAAAAATGGATATAATATTTCAATCCCTTTACCTGATGCTGTTACCAGGAGGCTGTCTGAGGCACCTGTTCTACAGGATGAGGCACTAACAGGACTTATGGAAGAGCAAAAGGCAATGGCGGTGGGAATGACAAGGGAACTTTCTGAACATGCAGATTGGTTCAGTCCAGGGGTTTCAGCAGGCCAGGCACCCACCTGAGACGTGGCCAGGGCTGAAACGGCACAGCCTGCAGGTGCCACAGTTAAATCTATGGATGGTTTTGGTGGCAGCTGAGGGGAAGATGATTTAGGGAGATTCTCCTCATTTATTACCCTGTTCCCTTGTGGCAAATTGGAAGGAGGCGAAGCTACAGTTTTGTTATCAACTTTGGCCCCTGCGCTGGAGGCCCTGCTGCTATCCATAATAACTTTGAGTTGGGGGTGTGGGGGAGAAGGAGTTTGGGAGAGCCCTGGCTTTTTTGGAGGGATAGGAGGCGGGTTTCCTCTGTCAACTCGTGTTACACCAGGAGTCTTTAAACTGGTCCGACCCACAGGAGGGTAGGGGCCAACGTCCCCCGTGGGGGACGCTCCAGGCCTTGGGGATGCTCCTGCTTGAGGGCCTGTAAATCTTGACAGTGCTTGGGTCACGGTATTCCGAGCTAGTTGTTTGGCCACTAGGTTGTCACGACTTGTAGGGGAGACATCTCTTGATGGAGGACTTTGGGTGGTATTTCCATTTTGGTCTGGGTCATTATTAGCATTGCCCTGAAACCTAAATCTTGCTGCTTGGATGCGTGGGTTTAGACCTGGATGCAGAGCTGCATTGGCACACGGTGATTGTAAACTGTGCACAGGTGGAGCTTGTGAGTAGGTCTGGGGAGCTGTGCCTGGCGTTTGCGTGGCAGGAGGGGCGGCGTTACTAGGAAGGGGTGGTGTGCTGCTTGTTACATCTGCTGTTGAGCCAGGGCTCGGTCCGTTTTCCTCAACTTTGTGTGCACTTGGAGGTGGAACGGCGGGCGGGGTAGAGCCCGTCAAGTCACTGTGGGAAGCCTGCCTGTCAATACCTGGTCTCACCAATGTGGCATTGGGGCACACGTTCCCTTTTGCATTTGTAGGAACTAGGGGGCTGCCTGTGGAAGGCTTTAGAGGCACCGTCAAAGGCGACTTCTTCCCAGGGTCAGTGCTTTCTATCACTAGGTCTGTCTGGCAAGCAACAGACTTGGTCATAGGTCCTTCTGTTCCCACTGATATGGAGACCAAACGCCTATCTTTTGTCTTCCGGGGGAGAGACAGGCTTGGTTTGCTGTCATTTCCTCTTTTCAGTTGCTCAATCATTTTCTTCATCTTGTCTATCTCCTCTTTGAGGTCAGTGGTATGTGCTTCTTCTCGGTGCAGCTTGGCACGAAGCTGTTCCCGTTCGGTGTCAAACTCAGAGAGTTGTTTCTCCATCTGAGCTTCCATGTCTGTGCTTCTTTGCTTCTCGGCAGAGAGTTCCTCTTCTAATGCACTGGTCTTCTTCTTTTCCTCTTCGAGTTTGGCCATTACTTCTTCGAGCTTCTGGGCCTCTTCTATGACTTTGCCCGAGAGCTGTTTGCATTCCTTGACCAGCATCAGGACCACGTGCTTGTTCTTGCTGCGCTCCTCCTCTAGGCGGGCGGTCAGCTTTTTGTGTTCCTGCTCCAGGGCTTGGAGCTGAAGCTTTTCCATCTCCAGCTGAAAGAAATTCACAGGAAAGTCCTGATTAATATGCAGAGAATTCTTTGTAGCCAAAAGAAGGGCTTTTGTGAGATTTTTATCCATTTTTTGACAATTACATGGTTTGGGTTATTACAAAATGTGCTGCAACATGAAAGATATTAAAGACTCAATTAAAATGGGAAAATAGATGTAAATGATCTCACAAAAAAATCTAAATCACATCAGAGGATTTTTAAAACTCTATTAAAGTTGACTTCAGAAAAGAACAGCAATTGGATGCCTCAAGTCACAGCAGCCAGCTCAGAAAGGTCTGCTTTGGTTAAAAAAAAAAAAAAACAAAAAACAACTCTATATATACATATATATGTACATATATATGTATATATATATATATAGAGAGAGAGAGAGAGCTCTATAAGGGAACTGGTGATATAAAAGAATATTGCTTCCAATTTACTTAAGTACTCTTTCAGTAGAGTATAATTTAAAGTGATGGAAACAGAACTTCAGTTAAACTTTTAAACCCCTATATTAGCTAACTATATTACTTCACTTATTTTTTAAAATCTCCTTACGATGGGTTGCTGTACAAATCATAAAATCTTACATGAAATTTCTCTAAAAACTGTGAAGAGCTGAAAAAGAAAAAACACATTAGAACTATAACCAATGTCAGTGAACCTGAAGTTTGACCTCATGTCCTACTTCAATTCCACTGCTCGCTGAGATCCCACACATGCCTCCCTGGTATTTCTTGAACATTCTTGGACTTGGTCCTGTCTCAGGGTCTTTAACCTTGTTTTTCTCTCTGCCTGGAATTTAACCACTCCCTTCACGTAGGGCTCCTGCACCAGGGCGACCAGTTGGAGCGGGAAGGGAGGTCAAAATTCAGCTCTGTCTACTCATCAGGAAGGTGCAATCTGCTCTCCAAGCCACAGGCCCCCTAGGGTATATGCTTCCGCCCCCCGGCCCCCCCCTAAAAAAAATTCCTAATTGATGACTGTAGAAGCAACTTTTCAAAACCTTTATGTCTCTGATGGACTTTTCTAATATACATAAGATCACTCAAAAGCCTGAGAGGCGGGCCTCCTTCATTTCCTTCAGGCCTCTGCTCAGCCTTCTCCTGCGCACTGAGGCAGCCCACACTGCCCTGTTGGAAACAACAGTCCTTCCCACCCTTGCACTCACAGTCCTTGCTTAGCACCTTCTGGCCCCACTGGAACCTGACTCCAGGAGGACAGCGATTTTGTCCTTTGCCACTGTGTCCCCAAAACTTACAGCAGTGTTTGACACACAATGGTGCTTAATTAGCTGTCACAAATGAAATTATTGTGATTCACAGAAACAAGAACCTTCCAAACAGAGGGTCTTTTTGGTCTTACAGCCCCACAGATGCACTATTCTAAATATTATTGGGGGTTTCTCACTTCTCTTCAGGGGAGTGTCTGCCGCCAGCTACTCATGAAGGACTCAGGCCCCAACTGGGCTGCATCAGTGAAGTCAGTCCAAATGCATCACCTTCCCAACCAGAGAAACATTCCACCAGTGGTCATAAAGGGCTTACCCCCATAAAGGCAAGGGTACATCTAAGGACATAGAAAGGACCCCTCCTACTACCATGGTAAATACAAATGAACTATCAAGGGAGCCAGTACTTATTTAAGTCAGTTTTTCATCATCAATAACAGAGAAAAGAGATACTGCTATGATCCATGAGCTTAAGGATGTGCTCCTCTCATCACCCTGCTGCGAGAATCCCTTACTTCATCTATCTCTCCCCCAACCCCGGGGAGTCAGCCATGGGATGGAAAGGAGAGAAAACCCTGGTGCCCGAGGAAGAGTCAGAGGTATTATTCCTTTACTTTGGGGTGTTCCTGCCTTGAAGAAGTTTAATAGGTTTAGGATGGGTCCTATAAATAGGTAATCAGGAATATAGATAAGTCCCAACAATAACAAGAGATGATTATTTATGCACATACACTATTCCATGATAAAAAAAAATTGGGGGGTAACTTCTTAAGTAGGCTAGGTAAGATCTGGGGAACAACAGTGTGTCATCATGCACAGGATTTATATATGAATATATTAGTCATCTGGGTGCCAGCCAGAAATTTTTACTTATTAATAAAGCACATTTACCTCCTCCAAATGCACTGGATAATAGGTAGCTCTTGGGAGGTATACACAAAGACAGTTTCAAGATCTATATTAGCCCCCATTAACTTTTTTTTTTAGCAGTTTAAGAAAAAGCACAAACTAGGTCCATTTTCAGCTTATTTTTAAAGTATGAATTTCATGATTCACCCCTGAAGGCAGAAATATAATGTCTTGTAGAACTTTAAGGACTGCCTGCATTTTTCAAAGCAAATAACTCGAGGCCAAGTTAGGAATTTCCCTGATGTCATCTGGTTAATCAGTGTCAGAATCATGTTATCATTCAGGGTTCCACTTGTCAAACTTTTCTCAACACACCATACATCTTGCACATGAGATTTCTTCATGGTGGGCCACCACATTTTTTTTTTTTAAGATAACCTTCATCCTACACTTCAAAATCACACTGTAAACCAGCTTCCAACAGATCAAATCAACTAATTTCATATAGTTATACAGATAATTATATTACTATAAAAGCACCCATAATTCTTTTCTATCATTGTGCTCCCATCACTCATGCTTTATAAATCCTCTGACTTAAATGTTTTGTAATCTGACCACCAAAAACAAAGCAGAGAAAAAACCATACAAATTATGCACCTAACAAAGTCTTGACTCTAAACTCAATTGAGTTCTAAGTTCCATTTACTGCAGGGAAAGTTAGATCTCTGCCTAAAATTTCACCCAAAGACTATCCTACTGATTCACTGTCTACTCTAACAGATTGTTCTATCAAGAATTTCAGATGCACTGCCTCTACATCCTGTCTCTTTCCTTATGTTTTTTTATAGCCACACCAACCCATATGTCCTTCCCTCCACTCTAAGGGAGAAAGGTTCCATCTGTTAAAGGTCAGATGTGCTTCAGCAATTAACTTAATGCTCTCCTGTCACTTCAGAGACTTGCTCCATCCGTTATCACTCTGCTTTTTATAAATGTTCAATACCTTCCTTTCTTCTAGTTTTTTCTAATCAGTATACAAACATGCTCCCATACTTAAAAAATATATTTTATAATACAATATTCCTTGATAAATTTGGCTGAGACAAAATTATTCTTCGAGAGATTAAGAATTGTAGGGAGAAGCTCTGACCTCTTAGCTGTGTGATCTTGGTAATAAGTTTTCTCTCTAAAGATCAGTTCTGTTTGGTTCCTTTTTCTGCACAATAGGGCAATAATGGTGATTACAGGATTAAATGAGGCAAGGCATGTAAAGCACACACCATTGTGTCTGGCAGTAACAATTCATAACATAATAGCTATTTTCAAATGGGTCACTATGCACAATGTTTATTCCTCTGAAAACACATGAAGAGGCAGAAAAGGATCTAAAGAATCAATCATATTAAACCAATAGATGGATGCTTTTCTAAGTTAGACAGGCTTATAACTCAACAATTACAAAGTATAACAGAGAAAGGTCCACTACTGGTTAAGTAACTTTTATTAGACTATCTCTAACAGATATCTCCAGATAGACTATCTTTGATAATTATAAACCCTTGAAAAATACAAAAAAAATAATTATTTGAAGACTTTGGAAAGCAATGAAAGTGGTAGAAATAAGAGAGAAGTACCCTCTCCCATTGAAAAGGAGGGTAAGACTTGCCCTTGCATAGCTTTTCAAGTGAAGGCAGTTCCCTGTCCTAACAGCAGTGGCAGCAGAGACTCAAGAACACAGCACCCATTATACACCCATTTGGAAACAGAGCTTGGAACTGGGCTGCCACAATTATCCCTAGCAGCATTCTTGGTTGATTCTTGAATTATCTGTTCATGGGGGAGACTCTGTAATGAATCACACAGTTGGCTTCTGAATAGTGGAGAGAAGTGAACAAAAATTTCAGCTATTGCCAACTGCATGGTGACAGAGTTTAGAGTATAAATCTAACCAGATTATTAGAACAAAATACATTCTTCCCAGGATAATGAAATCTAGAATCTCTGCATCATATGCATAATATCTAGCATGCAATTAAAAAATGACAAGACAAATAATTTTTTAAGGGATCCACAGTAAAGCGAAACATGGCCACAAACACTGGACCTACGATGATGCAAATTGTAATTAGTAGACAAAGACTTTAAAGCAGCCATTTTTGAGAAAATAAGGTCACAGCATATGGGGGATTTGGCACAGAAATGGAAATTTAAAAGAGGAAAATCTAGAAGTGAAAAGTGTAATACATAAAATGGATAAAAATCACTCAATGGGCTTAACAGCAGATCTGAGAGAATAAAAAGGTCAATGAATTTGGCAATAAAGCAAAATAAATTATTCCATTTGAGGAACACAATAAAAATGGTTAAAATAAAAAGGAAAAACACTTCAGTGACTTGCAAAACAATATAGAGTGATCTAAATCCTACATAACTTGAGATGCAAAAGGAGGAAAGAGAATGGAGAAAAATGTATTAAGAAAAAAGGGTCAAAAATTTAACAAGTTTGGTAAAAAAAAGAAACAGTTACAGATCCAGGGAGTTCCCCAATACCAAAGCAGAATAAACATGAAGTCACACCTAGCCACATTACAGGAAAATTGCCAAAACCAAACAATTTGAAAGCAGAAAAATATAGCTATATTACATACAAACTGTAATATAAATTATTATGACTGAATTATTATCACTAAATGCAGCAAAAATTGCCAGGAATAAAGTAAAATAATATCTTCTTTCATTCAAGTATATAGTAGATATATATCTGAATAACACTATAAAAACCACCTGACCTAATTGATATTTTCAAACATAACACCCCAAAACTACAGAGATAGTCTTTTCAGATGCAGTTGCTGAGCTTTAAAAAGCAAAAATCTGTTTCAAAAGTCTCAAGTTTCACAAGATGTTTTCTAGCC